AATACAATAAGACGACTGCACAAGAGCACGTAAATCAAAAACAACTCAAAGTCAAGGTCAGGAGTCAATCGCAGCAAATGCTACAGATGCCACCACACTGCCATCTCTTCCTTCCTTCTGCAAGACCACACAGCTATAGAACAGTTGAAACCCGACCCCCAAAATTCACTTATGGTCTCATTGCCACCATATGAGCGCCAAGGCGGTGAGATGTTAACTACCTCGTCTGGTATACAGGAGGTCGTGGGTTCGATCCCAACCCCGATGCCTGTATATTTGGCGTTTTGGCCGGGTCCTCCGCTTTTTCCCTCAACATTTAAAAACATGCGTTTAGAGTATTTGGTTACAATACATTTCCACATATGCCACTTCATTGAGCGATCATTTGTGGCCAGGTCGCTTCGGAAAAGTATATAGCTCAGTGGGCTTTACCTGGTTAAATAAAATAGTTAGTCATATGACTTTACATCTTCTAATTGGGTCAGATTTCTGGTTGTCAAATGTATCTCAAAATCCTGCCCCCCTTCTATTCTGCATGTGTACCCTCATCCCTTACAAATTACTTTGCCCGATTAAATCCACAATATTTTCCCGCCACATTCTACTCAAAACTTCCAAGCTGTTAATACAAAGCTTAATCTCGGCACAAGTGCATCTGATCTTGCCATTCAGAACTTGGCCATGTGCAGCTGTTTGTTAACTTTTTTTATTGCTGAAATCAGGTTTAGTGTGTACAGTAACCAGGTCTCTACTGACAATGGCCATTCTTTGCCCAATGGGTTTTACTTGTGAAGAAAAATCAATTCAATCAATATTCAAACGGTAAGCATCTTATTTTTTAGTTGCTTGTTAAAGTCTAAATGAGAGTTGTAAATTAAGTATTTAACAGCTTTCAGGACAGGTGGTGACGGACTAGGTCTGCTTTTATTAGAAGCCTTCTGGAAACACATTTGGCTTGTGGCACCAATTTTGCAAAGGACAAATAAAACTACTCATTTCACCGACAGTGTGCAGGTTATAGCAGCAGGAACGTATATTTCATGACCACAGAAGGGTAAACGTGTGAAGAACTAAGGTCGGCAAAATATTTCCAGTATGTGCAAGGTTTTTTTTGGCAACCGGTAATGTGAAAATCATATGGGTCAGGTCTTACCAAATGCAACATTTCATAAGTGCAATGGTCACTTATGCAGAAATAATGGCAGTTTAATAACATTGCATTTTTGGGAGAGCACAGTACCAATAATAATTGAACCTTAAAACAAGCTCCACGTTTAACAATTATCAATGGGGGGCAAATAACTCTTGTTGTTAGTCATGAGTCAGGAGCCGAAGTTGCACTTGGTGGCAGGGATCAGAGTCTCCATTAAAACAACCAATGCGGATTGTTTAACCCCATGAAGTGGCGGTACTCAAAGTTAGACCCTGGGAGGGACTATCGGTCGACTGAACCCTCAATCAGGGATTTTAATGAATGAAGCGCCTCACTACGACACAACCTCTGCTGGAAAACAATCGTAGAATTACATGCATTTTTACGATGACTGTTTTCACCATGTCTGCTTACCACAGTGTAACCTAGCAGCAAACCCAAAAAAACCTGTATTATGGATGATATTGGTTGCGAAAGCCTACGTGTTAAACGGAATTTAGCACATCCACGTGGCTTCCAAAGAAATACATAATCTAGAGCTCCCAAGACAATGGAGAAGGTAACGGTTTTGGGAGTGCAGCACGTGTGTTATTGCCCCAAATGCACTCCACTGGCAAAACATCAACCTGCACTAACGAATGTGTCAATGACAACTTTGCTTGCTCAACACAGCCTGATGTGTGCGCAAGTGACCTACAATTAAATCTTGACTTAAAGTTTCCGTGACTGCAGGAATTCATATTCTTTGGGTCTTTCGGTAAAGTCACGTAGATAGGTTCAAAGAAAATAGCAATAACAAAAAACTACGACGTTTCAATCTAAACGTTTCCATCGAAACGTCGTAGTTTTTTTTGTTATTTTCTTTGAACCTATCTACGTGACTTTACCGAAAGACCCAAAGAATATGACCTACAATTGCCACGGATAACAAAACCTCTCAACATTCATCAACAATACCGTGGCCTTAAAAGGGAGATATATTTCTATATATAACAGGTGCTGATGTTGTTTCGGGCAATGATCCTTTCTTGCAACACAATACAATCGCCGCAATGGCCGAAACCTGAAAAACGCGTAAAGCCACCAGGGGTTGGCGAATAACGAGTCCGGTGTTCTCCGACAGCGGAAAACCCAACGCAGCAATGTCGTTTGCAAAAAAAAAGTTAAATTTTTTACTTGGTAAATTGATAACAGTTAGGTTTCAGCCACTTCATGGCGGCATGCGCCGGTGACATTCCAGTGAAGGGTAGCATTGTTCTGTGCTCATTTGGGCCAAGAAGTCGGGCATAAACCCACAGATGAGAGAAGAGCCGAGTCAACGAATCGTAGCCACTGCCCCGAACAGTCCGGAAAGCAGCGATGTAACAAACATGTCTGGCGATGACACGAATGTCGAAACAATACTTCTTCAATGACATTACAATGGGTGATTTGGACTCATTGCTGGGTCAATACGAATGCAAGTGATTTTTGGAGCAGTAATTTTTTAATGCTATTTAAAAGTGTGAATGTTTAATTGTCATCGATCCTTAATGTTTTAAAATTACTATTTGGGGAGCATTGGTATAAGTGGTGAACACACTGCACTGTGAACCAAGTCACCGGAGTTCAATTCACGGTGCAGTGGTGAGTAACAACACGGAACCTTTCGGTAAAGTCACGTAGGTATAAAATAAAATAAATTCAATCACGACGTTTCGGGCGCAACACAAGCGTCCGTCATCAGGTGGGACAACCACAGCAAGAAAACAATTGCTGAAGTGGGCAAAAGGGCTGCTGTAACAAGACGCTATATAGTTTTACCTGTTCTGGCAATAAAACAGGTGTTAAGATGTTCAAACACCAAACAGAATCCGTTTGTGTGGAATCATATCTACATTAACCAAGCATACTTGTGGTGAACATGCAAACAAAACATGCTCTGGTAATATATACATTGTCTTTGAAACCGATTGGTCGACACCAGAGACAGCCTTCATACCTTGCACAAGGCTTCTGTTTGGCGTTTTAACATCGTAACACCTCACTATGGGGACCTCATTTGCCAGTAAAAATATGATAATTGGTTCTTTACCCTTCTATCTGGCAACAAAACTGACACCTTTTTGCAAGGAGTCATGTTTGCATAGACCGCAATACCTGCAGTCATAATACAAACAAAAGAACATAACTCTGATAATGTGCACTGTCCTTGAAGTTGATTGGTCCACACCCGAGACAGCTTTCCTTCGAGCCTAGTCTCATATGGGTTGGACCAGATGACGCCAAAAGGCGCACAACTCAAGGACAATGCACCATCAGAGTATGAGAGCTCGGGGCAAGCATCTACACTATGGGGACCTCATTTGCCAGTAAAAATATGATAATTGGTTCTTTACCCTTCTATCTGGCAACAAAACTGACACCTTTTTGCAAGGAGTCATGTTTGCATAGACCGCAATACCTGCAGTCATAATACAAACAAAAGAACATAACTCTGATAATGTGCACTGTCCTTGAAGTTGATTGGTCCACACCCGAGACAGCTTTCCTTCGAGCCTAGTCTCATATGGGTTGGACCAGATGACGCCAAAAGGCGCACAACTCAAGGACAATGCACCATCAGAGTATGAGAGCTCGGGGCAAGCATCTACACTATGGGGACCTCATTTGCCAGTAAAAATATGATAATTGGTTCTTTACCCTTCTATCTGGCAACAAAACTGACACCTTTTTGCAAGGAGTCATGTTTGCATAGACCGCAATACCTGCAGTCATAATACAAACAAAAGAACATAACTCTGATAATGTGCACTGTCCTTGAAGTTGATTGGTCCACACCCGAGACAGCTTTCCTTCGAGCCTAGTCTCATATGGGTTGGACCAGATGACGCCAAAAGGCGCACAACTCAAGGACAATGCGTCATCTGGTCCAACCCATATGAGACTAGGCTCGAAGGAAAGCTGTCTCGGGTGTGGACCAATCAACTTCAAGGACAGTGCACATTATCAGAGTTATGTTCTTTTGTTTGTATTATGACTGCAGGTATTGCGGTCTATGCAAACATGACTCCTTGCAAAAAGGTGTCAGTTTTGTTGCCAGATAGAAGGGTAAAGAACCAATTATCATATTTTTACTGGCAAATGAGGTCCCCATAGTGTAGATGCTTGCCCCGAGCTCTCATACTCTGATGGTGCATTGTCCTTGAGTTGTGCGCCTTTTGGCGTCATCTGGTCCAACCCATATGAGACTAGGCTCGAAGGAAAGCTGTCTCGGGTGTGGACCAATCAACTTCAAGGACAGTGCACATTATCAGAGTTATGTTCTTTTGTTTGTATTATGACTGCAGGTATTGCGGTCTATGCAAACATGACTCCTTGCAAAAAGGTGTCAGTTTTGTTGCCAGATAGAAGGGTAAAGAACCAATTATCATCGTAACACCTGTTTCATTGTCAGAAAGGGTAAAACCTATTCTAATACTAGTGGCGAGTGATATCTGCACCAAGATCCTGGGTCCCTCTGTCACCAAACCACACTGACCCAGCTTGGTGAAGTATGCTCAAGCATCCCCATGGCTGACACAGCATAGAGGAGGCCCTCATCCAGCAGCGGATTGATGCAAGGGCTTCACGACTAGTACTACATACCTGGGTACACTTTTGCATAAAGTTTAGTATGCTTGGGCAAAAAACTAAAGTCATGAATTCATATAATAACCTTTTTCATCACTCCTTGCCTCCGACTTAAGAGCTTATCCCATCAATCAGAGGCTTTGGCTCGGTACTCGTGACTTGTGCATCAACATTATCCTTTGTGGCGATGCCGCCAACACACTTCTTCCATCTCATCTCTCCACTATCAATCCCTCCTGCTGACAGATGCAGCCAGCACTGTCGCTTTGCACCACCCCCCCAACCCTTATTTATTCTAAATTGTGCCGCCGGTGTCACAAGACGAATATTCCATTCAGAAATCTCACAGGGCAGCACACCCACGTGTCAGAACGGCCAGAGAAGATTTATTTCACAGGACCTCTCACGAAAACCTTTCAATTGGACTTCTAAAATGGAAGGCAAATACTGCACTGGTTAAAAAAGGCACCATCTCCCACCAGTTAAACCAACACTACCTGAGAAACAGTGACTTGGATGGCCAATTCACCACTGGATTGAACTACGTTTAATTTTGGAAATGACAACCACCTTTAAATGCTTATTTTGTAAGGAGCCAGCATCAGCCGATTATTTGCATGGGGTTTCACCTTTCCAAAATACAATCAGGAATGAAACTGCATTGCATGGGTAAACCCAAACCTCATTAGGCTTTGCAATACTAATGACTTGCATAAGCCATGTAAAGCAGTATAAACGCACACTTCCCTATAGGTGGTGGTTTAATAATGATATAATCACACTTTCATCTGTTGGTCACTTTTTTTTCCCTTCGAAAAGGTCACAAGCCATGCAATACTCATCAAAAAAACCTTAGCTCCCCAGCTTCTTCCAGTCAGAATGAGTCTTTACCTCGGACCACACGATCAAAACTTCTGAAGTATTGTGGATTCGAAGCCAAGTGTCTGTATTTTAAAAGACAACCCACAATTCCTCAGAGCAGTCCATAACTACAATGAACGAAATCATGGATACAACTACATGGCCACCTGCATCTCAAATATCACCACCACCGTTAACCTCGTCGCTCCCCCGGAAACATCGAATGGAATGCAGGAGAGGGTGCTGGGAGCTGGACACACCTGCGCGTGGGCTTGTCGCTCAGGCTCGTACTGCGTGCGCGGAAGTTGCTCTGGTCGGCGTTCTGCTGAGCAGTCTCCTGAGCACTCTGCTGAGCGCTCTGCTGAGCGCTCTGTTGGGCGCTCTGTTGGGCGCTCTGTTGGGCGCTCCTCAGGTGCTGCTCATCAAACGGCAGCAGCGCGTTGGAGCGCAGGCCCTGTACCACAGGAGGTACATGGATTAAAAATTATTAGACCTTGCCTTTGAACCGAACACCTGAAAAAGACCTGAAAATCGTCAGACCTCTGACAATAAGCTGGAGGGGTGGTGCGCTGTGTGTGTGCGCGAGGCCATACCTTAGTGATGTACTGCACAAAGTCCTTTCTGAATGGAAGGCGGCAACGGATGAACCACATGGCAATCACATGGTGCGCCAGTGACACAACGTACTGGGTGAACCTGCAGTAACACAAGATTCGTTGATGCGGTTGTTTTTGCAATTGTCGTCATTTTAAAACATGTAGCAATTACAACAGTGAGTAATACATTTTCCCATGTGCAGTGGCTTGATCATCCAAGCCTGGTTACCAAATTCCTGCATAAAATAATGATATATATTATTTAAAACAATTAGCTATATTACAGCCATAAGAATTGCAACATTATGGTCTTACTTCTATGCAATGAACACTCTTTTGAGGGCATGAGGATAGGCCATCTAGCAGGTGGATGGGAGGTCTATTGAAGGGACTAAACTCGAAAAAGACCTGAAAATAAAACCATCTCTGAACAATAAATTTAATTTGATAGCAGTTTCAGCCGAGTCAATAGGCTACACACGTACATGTGGGTAGTACGTGAAGAGTAAAAACATGGCACGAGTCTCATCCAACTAAAACTTCACCATATCCACCAGGGCGGTGGCGCCAAAAATCGCATGGAAATTTGAAAGAATCCCAGGTGTTCGCCAAAAGTGCAAATGTTCCGAATTATTATTTTTTTGCAATGCCAATGAAAACCACTCATAAGTTTGATTAGAAAAATAAATATAAAAAGGAGTATGTAGTTAATAATTCTCCCCTCATCTTCCGGGGCCACTCTCTGACGTGGTCGGACACTGCACTGCTCGATGTTAGAGAGTTTCTTGTCACCGAATTACACAAAACTAATAACAAAAATATAAATAACTGCAAATTAGAAACCGTGGATAGATTATATTATCTATTCACGTTATTTCCATTGAAACGTGGAGGTGATACATGCGAAGTCGTGACAAAAACACATTAAATAAAAATCATGAAAACTACAATTTCCAAATCTAAATATGCACTGTTGCGATAAAGGTAATTGGTCAATATTACCTGCCTTTATCTGCAAATGCTATTTTCTAAAATAAGCCCATAACAATCTACAATTTAATTTACTTAACAACTCGAGTCCAGTCAAAGAGTGTTGAAATGCGAATTGAGGCAGCTCTTATCTCCATCGGCAGTCCTGTACCACAGGAGGAAATTCCAGATTCCAATTGTGCGAGCAAGAATTTCCCACGGGAGCTCCACAGACGTCTCTCAGGTGGTACGAATCTTATCGACAATGGAGGGGGCAATGAGCGATGGGATAAGCAGACACCCAACCAAGATTTACACGCAACTTTCTGTGTGTCAAGGTGTGAAAACGAGTTGAGCACAAAATCGGAGATGAAGAATCGTGTTTACGAGATGGAGAATCCATTTTGAACGCCGCAGAGCAATGCAGTATCCCATGTTCAGGAATGATCCGTGGAATCAGATATTCACAGCGCTACTGCCGAGATGTCTTTAATGGACCCTTTAGCCACACGAGAGGGGCAAGCACTTTCCCACCCACCCTAAGAGACTTTTTTTTTATCACACGGTCAAAGTGCAACACCAAATTAGATTTTTTTTTTGTGTGTGCAGTCATTGGTGTCCAGGCTGAAACCATCAAATCGATTTAAAAAGACAGATGGCTGAAACCTGGATTTGACCAAGATTTCAGCAGCGCAAGCTCAGCATCTCTGACCGCCGACCGACCCAAGCATTCATTTTTAATAAAACACAAGCATTGGTATTGTGGAAAACGGGCTCACTTGAAGGAGTTGGTGTATGGGAGGGAGATGGCAAACACGCTGATGTACTGCTCTGCCACGAAGTTTGTGTAGAGGTGAGGCAGGCGAACCAAAACTGTTGAGAAGATGCGCAAGCATGAAAAATTCCAGATTACGTTAAAACATCAAAATCTAAAAGAGATTTAATATAGCAGGAAGTGCGGAGCAAGTCTGTAATGCAGCACTTCGGGAGGTGCGTTGCAGACTGTGCAAAGTAGAATGTGCCCGAAACTCCCAACCTCGGGTTATGAAGTGGCCAGATAGAAGCCAAGCAAGTGGGTTGCGGTTCTATTTATATCGCATTTTGGATGTCAACACCTCATATGCGTGTGCTTCACCAGTTCATTCTCCCACATGGCAAATAACTGGCCAAACGCCCAAGCACTCCTGAAAAATGAGTCCCAAGTCAGCGAGGCTTCGCTGGCTAAATAATGCATCACCATTTTGAAAATCATGCGTGTAAATATATACTCCAGGGTTGAAAATAAGATGTTTTTGGCATGGGAGTTACGTAGTTCAAGGAAACTGTAGAAAACTCTGTCCGAAAGCCATAATGAGGTCAATGATAGCATTAATTAAACCCCGTAAATTTTACAAATTTTCACAAGTGGTCCAAGATGCAGTGGAGAATGCTGAATATTAACTCATTACACATCACCATAAAAGACGATATCTGCATGAGATAATTCCAGGTATCATTAAAATAAATGGCTTAATTATAAAAATATATATAAAGACCACCATCTTTGTAAATTGGAAAAACTGTTTGAAAATAGGCATCTATATATGGGGTCATCAAAAGTAAAGTGAAATCTGCAGTCTTGTATAAACTGGAGAACATCTTTTTTAATTGGGAGCAAAAAACTATTACATCTCAAGTTGAAAGCATGGAATTCTTGGCTGAAAACACTTTACAACCACTACCATCAAATACTTATTTTTACCATTATGCATGTGAAGCGAGTCCAACTGTGTTGCAGACGTTGTTCTTTAGAGGCAACACTTTTATTGTAACATCAACCCGCTAACAAAGGGGTAACTGCCCCTTCACCAGATACAGCCTAGGGTGGTGGCCACCCAGCTAACTACGCTATACGTAGGAGTTACAGCTACAAAGGGTCGGGCCCTCACTCGGGTCCCGACCACGTGTTGAAGCCTCGTAGGACGTAGAGCTTCCAGCTTGTAGACGTAGAGCTTCAGCTTGTAGAATGCAGCGACCCCGGTCCCTCTCAGGGACCCACCTTATATCCTCCTGGGTCGAGGCCGCTCCGACCTTGGCCCCGCCCGCCTTCTCGAGCCTTCTAGCTCCCTTCCGATCCCTCTCGAGAGCTCTCCCTAGACACGTGATCGCCCCCTAGCCCCCCCCCCCCCCACCTGGGGCCCTCTGTGGACATTCCAGATCACGTGTCTACGGGGTCAACCAGAGTGCCATGGCCCGGGACAACCCTGCCGCCCCTGGGCTGACACTCTCCCACTCCCCCTTGTAGGAGCTCGCACCACACGCTATGCGAGGTGCCCGCGCAATCCCAGCACACACCAATCCCCACTAGGGCTGGTACTACACCCGCCTACAGGGTGTACGCGATGACAGTGCATCGTGCACCATGGCCCTCTCGGGCCGACACCATAGAGTGACATCCCTGATGTCACTACACGTTTACCCAGGAGAACCTCACCAAGTCTCATGGCTTTCTCAGCGAGGGTCCAGTGGGGTTTTTCAAAGTCAGGCCAATTGTTACATTGTCGCAAGCCATGAGTAATTTGCGAGTAATCATTAAAATTTGGCAAAATTTGGACCATGAAACTGACGCACAATGGCCTTACTCTGGCGAATTATGCCATGGTATCTTAAAACATACAGAAGCAGACGGCACATATCTCTACAGTTAATACAAGCGCAGTATAAAATCGGGGACAGCCACTGGAGTGAACCCACAAACTTTAACCCGAGAAAGTGCTACCACTTGGCCACGTCATATGAATATAATAGGTTTTACCCTTTCTGGCAATAAAACCGGTGTCAAGATGTTAAAACACCAAACAGAATCCTTAGTCAAGGAATGCTGTCTGCATTAACCACACGTACTTGTGGTGAACATGCAAACCAAAAACACGCTCTGATAATATATACATTGTCTTTGAAATGGATTGGTCCCATATCATGCCAGAAAGGGTAAAACATATTGCTATATTTTAATACTGGCAAGAAAGGTCCCATATCACGTCATTAATATCGGTTTTTAACAAGATATCGGTTTGGCAATGACCCTTTTTCAGACAAGGCAGAAAAGAGATAATTGCATTACAATTTCTACAAACCACCGCTCCCCCCTCACCCTGGCAATCATTTAGCTCTTGACAACTCAATTGTAAATGCGCATCTTTAGCACAGACACCAACAAGCGGCAGACGCAGCCGAGACGCCCAACTTACATGACAGGAACTCGAGCACGGAGGACGCCATGCCCACAGTGGCGGAGATGTGCGTGAGCTTGAGCAGGATGGAAGGCAGCATCTTGAACATGATGTCACTCATCTCGAGCACGCACATGGTCAGTGCCATGACGCACTGCTTCGCACAGCGCGAGATCAGCCCCGCATCCAGACACTGCACCAGCTCCCTCTGCAGACAGCGGCACAGGCAAGCCACAGTGAGCAGCCGAAACAGCAGGTACATGGACAGCAGCAGGCGGCAGACGCAGCCTGCAGCAGTTGCAGCGGGCATCCAGGTGTGAGCAACAGAACAGCACTGACAAATCTGTGAATCTACATGGGGCAGACACTTGGTCTATCATTCTGGTACGTACATAATTCAATACTTAATTTTAGGCGTCTAGGTGTAACAGAAGCAATGCGGCTTTCACCAGGGGGCAATGTTAGGGCTCAGATAATTACAGGTATTGCCTATACAGGGATGGGTGGCTATTCACATTCCACTTGTAGAAATAGCACTGCCCCAATATCAGTTTAATAGTAGAGATGTCCAAATGAGAATATTGATGACTTCGTCTGGAACCACCCTCACCGCAGCCATCTCTGCCAGCAATTCCCAGCCTCTGCTCAAGTCCAGACCTCAAGGCTTTCCTCTTTTCCCATGACTATGACCGACTGCCTCTATATAATGAAATAAAAACGGCCACCGTTTCTGTGCAGTGTCTTGGGATGCAATTCCATTCAAAGTCTATACATATATTTGAACATAATTCATAATTTTATCAATGACTCCACGGTCGGTTGCTTCTTAAATGTTAATGCCCAATTATCACGTGCGATCCATGAAACGAGCGTTGGAAATCATGTGTAACGTGGCATTTCACAAGCTGAAATATAACAATCAATCATTTTATGCCCCACGTTTCAGTTAATTATGTGCCGGTTACACGTCTATTTAAAACATCGACTAAAAATAAGGCAATTAAAATGTTCAAGAGGCCTTTATGGCAGCAACAAAACACTTCTTAAAGCTTTCATCAAATGAGTGTGCAAATATGGACGTAAGGCACTGGAGATTTTAAATTCACATCACATGCCTGTTAATATTACCATCAGGTGACACTCATCTTTGTTAGTGGCTCTGAGCCAGAAGCCAATATTCCACATTCCTATAGCACTATGGCAGGAACAATCGTGTCCCAACAACAACCAATATTCATATCCTGTGAAATGGTCCAAGTTGACCAGGACACAAGACCAACCGCATGCTTGAGTCACGCACCCTCCTACAACACCTTTCTGGTGTTGACGAGAATGCCATCAGCATTTTATACCAAAACCTATTCTAAAACATTGAAACATTGAATCCCTGCAGTCACGAAAGCTTTAAATCGAAATCTATTCTAAAACACTTTCCCTGAACGAGGAGAATCGAAGACAGGGCAGCGCATGTAGGCTGAAAACTATTTAGAGTAATACTACACTCAAAAGGTGATTTAGAGACTAATGCATGACCATAACGTCAGTCCTGTGTTTAGCAACAGTGATAAAAAAAAACCAGGACTGGTTTCACCTTCAAGGTGAAAGCTCCTGAACGTGAACATACCCACATCATTACACAGGCTCCAGCAGCTGCCGCGAGCAGGTTCATCTGTAGTGGCCGTTCTCACTTGTATTGTTTACTCCAGTTATCGTGCTTTCACGCTACTGCTGCGGATCAGGGCGGTGGTCACCTGTCTTGCGGTGTCCAGCAGGCTGTGGTAGGATGTGAGCGCGTTGAGGATTGGGAAGATGACCATCTGGAGGTCGGTGCATGAGAATACATCCCCGGCGACGATGTTGGACTCCTTGATCTTTTTACTGCTCACCTGCGCAACCCAAAAATGCCCGGCTTTACGCATGCAGCACAATGCACATACGTACAGCCTCCTTTTGTCAATCCACTGCTGGATGAGGGTCGCAGTGCTCATCTGACCACACGTCACAACGATGGCAAGTGTGGGATGAAGGTGAGCAGCGTAGGCGTGGGAGCATAGTAGTACTGTATAACTATGGATTTTTCTATTCTGCCCACAATGTAGCACCCATTCACCATGTTTGGCCCCGAACAGGACGCAAATAAAAATAATCCATATTATGGTGCTCTGGGTTGGTGGATCAAAGAATAATGTGCGCATGGCACTCCCCCCGCACAGGGCTATATGGTAGCCTGTCACGCAGCAGAGTGAATCGTTTGTAGCCATAGCGAAGCCAATTATTTTAGTGTTAACCCCCTTGTCTCACTTTAGCCAGGTAGGCTCCTCCCAAGTGTACACTCTCGATAATTGGCCACTTATAAGTGAAGCACTCGTAAAAAGCGAGTTGTAAGGCTTAATTGGAGGTATTGCTGGATACAATTTGTAAACTATCAATATTATTATTTGGATAGCAAAATGTATCATTGCCCCAGCTAGCACTTGCCATTTTGCAAAGGCAATTGCAGAGGGTATCCACAGAGCACTGGGAGCTCATGATGAGGATCTTGTTCTGCAGCAGGGACGGGATCTTGCTCAGAACAAACCGCAGCACTTTCCATTCCTCCTCCTGCAGATCGACACAGGGTAGAAACGCTCCATGTCACCGCAAAACAATTTTGCACACCACAGTTTGGCCATCAAGGCAAGCACTTGTCAATTTTTTCTTATTTCAGGCCTAATCTTATTCTAGTCAATGACAAGTCTTTGAATGTTCATCAAATTTTAGTCTATGCATAAAAGTATTAGCTCCGCCAATTAGTGGTTATATTTTGATTTACATATATAGCGAATTACTATATTTGTCCTTCCTCAGTACACTGCAGTTTCAAATAACGTCAGTAAATTACCCGAATCTTCCGTCGGACTAGTCGATTTCATCTCGACATCATCGGTCGTGGTTTCGTATGTGGTGGGCCGTCATAGTAATCTCTCGGGCTTGACCATTTTTACCGACTCAAGTCAGTCATTGTTGACTTATTCTAAAAAAACTAATATTTTTGCATGTAAAATTTCATCAAAATTAAAAATGGACGCAGAGAGCTCGAGCAGGCCCAGCTGTACCTGCTGGATGCACTGCAGCAGGGTGCTGAACGTGCGGCAGAAGGGCAGGTGGCCGAAGCGGAAGGGAAGACTCTGCTGGTGCAAGGCAATGGGACTGTCCGACGGCACGGAAGCCGCGTCGCTGGTTCGCTTCTCCACGTCACTGAGCACACAAAGACAAATATCCCCTTAAATTTCGATTTAAAGCTTTCGTGACTGCAGGGATTCATCTTCTTGGTTCTTTCGGTAAAGTCACGTGACTTTACCGAAAGAACCAAGAAGAAAATATCCCCTTGTAGCCTTAACAGACTGTTGGGGCAAGTGCTGTTCGGCATGCACTCTATTAAGGCTGACATGGCAAACGAGGCGGTGGGTGGCAAACACCACGCCTATCCGCCTTTGACTCCCGAGTGGTGATGTTTACACACCGCACCAGGTACTCATTTGAGGCAGAGTCGAACTTGAGTGGTCGGGTTTGTAACGCAGTGTGCTAACTGCTACATTACCGCTCCCCACCGATCACACATACACAAAACACGCGCACGCTTTCACTTTCCAGGCGGTTCATGTTAAACCTGTGAGCAGCACCCATAAATAAATGGGCCACTCTTAAAAAAGGCAGGTAATGTAGGACGTTCTAATTTGAAAAAACTAGGTCTTTGGAACACGTGTATATCGAGTACACTTTAATACTTAAAGAATCCACAATTGTGGCGTTCTTCTACGAGAGTCTAGAATATATAAACTTTAAAAACGATTTGCAGGCTTGAGTAAATATATTTTGGCCCATATTTCAATGCTAGGATGCTTCCATGCTGAATCAGAGTTCGCAAACCGGGTACCTGATACCCGTACCCTACCCGATACCTGGTTACCCGTACCCGGCTGGGTACGGGTAGACCATGAGCCACTGGTGAGTAACCGTTTGTCACTCATTACCCAACGTCTTGTCTCTTCTCACAATTTCAAGTTCCTAGAATCAACCCACCCGCGCCTGCAACATGGCTTCATCCCAGAGGTCGCAATCGGGTACCCGTACCCATACACGGCCGGGTACGGGTAGCCGGGTATCGGGTAGGGTACGGGTACCCGATTGTGACCATGGTGTGGCCGGGTACGGGTAGCCGGGTATCGGGTAGGGTACGGGTACCCGATTGTGACCCTGGTGCGCCCGGGTACGGGTAAGGGTAGGATACGGGTACCCGTTTGTGACCCTGGTGCGGCCGGGTACGGGTAGGGTACGGGTACCCGATTGCGACCCTGGTACGGGTACGGGTAGCCGGGTAAGGAATAAAAACCTGTTTGCGACCTCTGTGCTGGATTCTTCCCCTCCCCCACTCCCTCGTAATCCAAACCCTTCACCCCCCCCCCCCCCAACTCAATGTGTTCAACACCGTCACCAATTAATCTTGTACCCCCCCCTACTGGACACTCACGGTTTTAATTACAGCACTAACAAATGCCTGGGGCAGATGTTTGAACGATTCGGATTAATCATGCACTCTTTAATGCATTTAACCTTGGCATAAAAAAATCATTACCGATCCAGGCCAACGCGGCAGTTGAAAATTAATTTTGCACAAGAAAAATCCCGATACAAGCCTTCCAGCTTGATGGCAGCGCGCCGCCATCACGGGTTTAAATGTCCCCTCCACGCGATACGTTTTGTACACCATTGGAACCTCATTTTGCCAGTGTCAGTTTTGTTGGCAGATAAAAGGGTAAAAAACCAATTATCACGTTTTAAATACTGAACATCCAAAAAGACATACATCCATAACTACAGAATAACACCCAATTAATATTATTTTGGCTGCGTCCGCTTTGAAATCAACGCACCGCCGAGACGTGCGACAGGAGGCGCGCGCACCTGGTGTCGCAGAGGCAGTAGACGCTGAAGCGGAGCTCACCGCGCTTGTCCACAAATCCCATGCGAGCAGTCGAGTCCGCCCGCAAGGACAGCAAGAAATCAAAAATCTGCAGAGAGTGTAGGACATGGGTTAGGAGACTCCAGTTTACCAAACTAGATTCAAAGCTTTTGTGACTGCAGGAATTACTCTTTGGTTCTTTCGGTAAAGTCACGTAGAAAATAGAATAATAATAGAATACGACATTTCGGTTGCAACACAAGCAACCATCATCAGGTAAGAATGAATGATAAAAAACAGACACGGGCACAGCACAGGCAGACAGACATGCAAAGACGCACACAAAGACACACCGAGCGTGACACACCAAAGAAACAGTCACGATAACAACATAGGCAGACAACCACTCAAGTAATTTTTACAGTTGTCGTCGACCTCGGGTAGACGGCGCTGTCCCCTGATCGTCCCAAGTAGGGAAATGTCGAGACACAGCCCACCCCCCCCCCCCCCCCCCGCAGTTCTATACTGCGTTCGGGCCCATCTACTCATGCGCTCAGTTACTCACTCACTCCCCACACTCATTCACAGCCTCGCATACTTGTGCCCATCTGCATCAAAATGCACGTGCTGGTCACCATCTGGGATTTATAAACCATTCCTGCAGCACTTAAGGTGGAAATGTTCTGTAAAACTTACAAAGAATAAACAGTGCCTTGGTGATAGCTTTTGCGCGATAATTATGCTGTGAACACTGAATGTACCATTACTCCTCATTACACACAAGACGATGAATCCCCCGGCAGCAATTTGATGAACTGTAATAACTTTAGTTTGAATGCAATTAAATGTTGCCATATTTACATTGTCAAAAGTTCTAGATATCTACTCATTAGGCTATCATTTAGTTCCAACAGTAGTAGGTATATTGTTTAAAACTAATCATATGCACAGGTCTTGCTCAGCATGTTAGTTTTAAAATCAAGCCTGGCGTATGGTGACATTTCCGATCTTTGGAAGTTTAGTTCCCTTGGTAATTAAATTTGGTTAATATTTCGGTGCACAGTGATGTGGCTATGAAGTGGATGGCAATGTTCATCTTCCGAGAAGAAATATAAATAAATTGGTCCACGTCAATGTACACTTGTAATTTTCATCTTTATGCTTTGGGAATTAAAAGTTAATTTTCAAAAAAACACCTGCCAAATTTAAACTTGTAAAGGTCTCAGAACTTTAGTTCCACGAGTCCATATTGTTTACGTTTACCATTTATCCGATTAGGTGCAAGATTTAATAAATACATTTACGTTTTAATAGAAAAGATTGGGGCTGGTGTAGAACAGGTACATTTCTGAAGAAAATTAAAAACATGAATAAAATGCTTCCCTATTATATTAATAAATCATTAAATTACCCAAACGACTACTATTAGCCAACCAGAGTTGGCGAATCCCTGCAAATAATATTTATAGGTCGGACTGGTGGCTCATACAGGCACCATGTGCTCCAGTGCACAATGGCCAGCAATATTCCATCATCTGCGAGTATTTGGGTGTTATCCTCTTGAGATCTATTGGTTTTATGGGTAACCAGGGCTTCCTCCCACACCCAAAGCTCAAATTACACAATTCCAAAACGCCACTTCCCTAAGAGTCTTGAAGCACAAGGAGCGATTGCTTGGTAAACACAAGTGAAATTAATCATATTTTTGTATTGCATTACAGGAATACTTTGTGTATACTTAAGCACAATTACTTGGAATTACATATTTAAAATTGTGGCATGCAGAAACTCGTGATTAAGGCCTCCCTCATGCCATTACGGTCATGGCGGTTGTTTGACCATACTTCACCACACCTATCAGTGCAGTTTAGTGAAGTAGATATCACCCACCACGGATGCAAATCCAATTTATATTGTCGGGTTCTAGTACAGTGTGTTAACCACTTGTCTTCCCGGTTTAAATTTAACAATAAGATCCCATTGTGGTGAAAACTGCATTACCAAATTATTTGTACAGACCTGAATTCTAATAGCATTAGCCACATCCATGTTGTAGCCCATTCTGTAGTGTTTCTGGAGGTGCGCTATCAGAATCTCATACACTTGAACAGCATGGTTGGCTGGCAACAAAAACATCTTGCTCTGAAAAGAGACAAAGGAGAAAGCAGCTTTTATGCATCAAAAACTCACACCCAACGACGTTAGCCTTTGAAATAGAGCAGAGGTAAGTGTGTCGGTAAGATACGTTGCTAACCATCACGTGACTATAGTTGGAGGATCCTTTTTTTTTTTCAAAAGGTTAAGCAGGGAAGGAACGATTCACCCACCTCAATGCATTTAACAACTGCATTCCAGGGACTGTCGCAATTCGATTAAATATAAAAACAGACGACTACTATTATCTCGCACCTCCGATGAGCACGGTTATGACGTACAGCGCGAAAGAAGCTCAATATATGTACACGTTCACGAGCACACCACAAACCTGCAGGATTTCTAAAAGTCCAAACACCGCAGTCTTGATATCGTCATAAGGAGATTCCATAAGCTCCTCCTCCACGGCCTCAGAGGCCGTGTGCTCCACCATCTCTCGACTGCTTATCTGTGGCACAACGGGTAAAAAACGCAGTCACACACATCCACATTTACTAATGCGTTCATGGTAAAATGGAGCCGTTGTACAACATGGTGCGATGTACCCCACGCAGATTAAAAGCACGGGCAAATCTCACATTTGCACAATGCCGAGAGGAAACTTTGCAAATTGCAGAAAGACCTATTTTTCGCAAACAGTTTAAATTCAGCGCGGTGTTGAAAAATGCATCTGCGTGTATGCAGGCACGTAGATATGGCAAGGCTGTAACTGAAAATTGCTTTGCAGAACCGAGGTGGTGGTTTTTTTTACAAACTAACTTTACATAATTTGCAAACGGCTGCACCTCCAGTGCAGTGGTTAGAGCACAGTGCTCCGAAACCAATGATCCGAGTTCAATTCCCAGACACGGTTAAAATAAGTAGAGTAATATCTTAAATGGATCAAATATAATGCGATTGTGACAGCAGATAGCAGTGAAGAAAAAGCTACTGTTGTATTGTACTTCTATGCCCCCACATCTATGCTGGCCAGCCACCACTGAGCAGTGGTGAAGTATGGTCAAATACCTACCAAGACCCGGATGGCATGAGGCCCTTAAGAATTGGATCAACAAAAGGAATGTACACGTACAAGGAAGAAACATCATGCGCATGCATGAATTCCGTGACACTTTCTGACATGCGGAAGTATTTAACCAGAGGTAACAACATCATAACGGTGCACGATATGTGACGTCACAAAGAGGGGAGGCATGTGCGTGGCGTGCGACGCCATTGCATTGGCTGACAAAGCTAGTTGTATTTACTTCTGTTTTTGTTTTTTTAGTTGGCAACCCACTTAACAATTTGACTTGTTTTCTATAGGTGAAGTCCGGAAAAGAAACAATTTTAGACTACAATTTAATTTATATTGAATCATCTTGACGAGTCATCATTTCTTCAGCACCGCTTTTTGCGTCGTTTGGTGTGTTGTCCTTCCCCCACACCTCCGATTAAGCAGGGTTGGCTACGTACAGGTACAAAAAAAAATTCAACACGCATATGTACAATGATCAACCACTTACGGGCACATCGACGGTGCAAATGCATTAAATGCTTTCAAACTTTTTTTTTTTAGTTGAACAACATTGAAAATTGGATGGGTGACCCGTCACCTTTTGCAGGGCGTCGAGGAGGCTGTTAAAGTGGCTCGAGCTGCAGGTCAGCGCCAGCTCCACCAGCTTCTGGGTGGCGAACTTGCGCACGGCCACCTCGCGGTCCTCCACCACGGCGCTCAGGTGTGGGATGAGGACTGATTCCATCAGCTCCTCCTGTAACACACACACACAGGAGCAGCAAGAGAGCATCCGAATTAAAACAGGATAAGTAGTAGTACGGAGGCGTGGGAACGACATTTAATTTCAAGAGTGGCAGGAATATCCATACATTGAGTGCGTATGTTGATCATCATTAGCAAAAAGTCATTGCTGGATGAAGACCCCCCTCCCCCCCACAACACAATCCCCCCACCACAGCTGTGGTCATCTCTAACAATCCTGAGATATGATCATCGAGCTCAAACCAATTTCATGGATCCATCTCGTCGCTGGACATACTCTTGGTCACGTACCATGCCCGGGCTGCCACTCCCATCGTTCTTAATCATCAACCGTCACTGATACTTGCGCTGCGTTCAGGCCAAGCCCACATTTATCGTGCATACATTATATAATTCACATATTATATGCATTTAAAAAGGAGGCTAACAGCTGCAAACGTAAAAAGAAAATGGTACGCAATTTTTTTTTGCATAAAAAATTAATTCTTGAATATTATGATTACTACACTTGTTTTTTGGAACCCAGGCTTTTCTTATAAGTGAAGCAGAGTTACCGCTGAGATACCCCATCCCCAATCACAACTCCGAATCAGTCGTGACAATGAAATCAAATCGCTGGATGGGGTGAAATGTTATATGCCTGTGTGTTCCCTCTGCCATTCTCGGCCGTACCTCGTAGACGTGCCTGTGCGTGCCGAGCACCGAGAAAAGGATCTCCAGACACTTCTTGCGGATGACGCTGGACGTCTGCATTCTGCCACATCAAGCGTTAAACTCACACAGATTAAATGCACAGTAGACTACGCACAATTGAAAAAAAAACACTTTGTACTTTTATTCTTTACTATAAACAGCATCTCAAGGGTGACATACAATTATTTGAGGGGAGGATCTCGACGGCTAGTATACGGACAAGTGCAAGCATGCAAGGTGATGAGGGTGGAATACCCTGCACGATGGCATTGGTTATAGATGGGCGGCTAACATTACAGCAAGGACATTATGGCTTTGCAGAGAAAGAAGATTCAGGTGCAGTTAAGTTTGATGAGGATAGGCGACAGGTATAAAACAACAATGCAAAAAAACTCCAGAAATTAATTTCCGAATAGAACACAATTTTAAACCAGTGCAGAGGAAAATGGTAAAGCCTCCAGGAAAGGCACACATTTTCACATGAGCCATAAACAACAAGACCAGCTGTGATATCAGGCAGTATTAAAGTTGTTTAGCACATGTTAAATAATGCAGCTTAATTAAGTAAACTAGGTAGTATTCTGCTTTGCATACACCATTTAATAATTGGTTCTTTACCCTTCTATCTGGCAACAAAACTGACACCTTTTTGCGAGGAGTCATGTTTGCATAGACCGCAATACCTGCAGTCATAAATACAAACAAAAGACATAACTCTGATAATGTGCACTGTCCCTGAAGTTGATTGGTCCACACCCGAGACAGCTTTCCTTCGAGCCTAGTCTCATATGGGTTGGACCAGATGACGCCAAAAGGCGCACAACTCAAGGACAATGCACCATCAGAGTATGAGAGCTCGGGGCAAGCATCTACACTATGGGGACCTCATTTGCCAGTAAAAATATGATAATTGGTTCTTTACCCTTCTATCTGGCAACAAAACTGACACCTTTTTGCGAGGAGTCATGTTTGCATAGACCGCAATACCTGCAGTCATAAATACAAACAAAAGACATAACTCTGATAATGTGCACTGTCCCTGAAGTTGATTGGTCCACACCCGAGACAGCTTTCCTTCGAGCCTAGTCTCATATGGGTTGGACCAGATGACGCCAAAAGGCGCACAACTCAAGGACAATGCACCATCAGAGTATGAGAGCTCGGGGCAAGCATCTACACTATGGGGACCTCATTTGCCAGTAAAAATATGATAATTGGTTCTTTACCCTTCTATCTGGCAACAAAACTGACACCTTTTTGCGAGGAGTCATGTTTGCATAGACCGCAATACCTGCAGTCATAAATACAAACACCATTTAAGTTTAGGAGTCAAATTCGATTTAGTTATGGTTTTTAAAACCACATTGTATATAAATTAGCAGGTCACACGAATAGGCGATGCCAGAATTAAAATTCTTTAAACCAGAGCGCACCACATAATGTTGATATATACAGTAGAGGTAACATGTTTTTGTGCAGTGATATTAAAGGAGAAAAAAGGTGCCTCGTGAAATCAACGCGCCTCCCTTCGGTGTAATGACCATCTGGATCAGAGCCAGCGATGCAAATCCTACATCTATATGGATGGCAGATGCCAGTATCTCCCTCGGGGAACCAGAGAGTGGTACCTATTTTATTGACCTCTGTGGGGTCAAAGATGTGAACTTGCACTTTACCAATTGCAAGCCACGAACTCTAATCGACAGCAAGAGCGAGGATCGGGCTGTTACGAACAACGTAATCCATTACGCGCAGAATCTTTACGTTGCTCACCAAAATGACCGATGTCTCACCTGAAATATTTCTCCATCATCTTCTGCAGTTCCAATATCCAGCCGTCTTTGGCAGGATGGATGGACTGAGCACGATAGGTCAGCAAGGTCAGCACAGACTGGCACTGCCGGGAAAACACAAGTCCAGTGAGTTACCCAATTGACACACGAATGGCAAAAAAAACAGGCGCACAATCCATGGACAAGACACAATATCCCAACAAAGGAAATGTGATTACATCTATATAAAGTGACAGGATCACAACCAAATGTTACCAGCTTCATTTTGGAATGTTAACTTGCATCAGAGGTGGAGTTGTGCACACGCTATAAACCCGGTGACTCAAGTTTGATTTCCACCCACAGCTTAGAAAGGTGGCAGGTGATATCTGTACCCGGCTGAGCTCATCGACCTTCACCAAGCAGCACCGATCAGCAATGTGAAGTATGGTGTAACAACTCCCATGATCGACATAGCATTGAGGGGAGGGGGGGGGGGCTTTACCCAGCAGCATGCAGTATATTTTCAGGGCTGTAACTAATTTTTTTAAATTTTAGCATTACAATAAAATGTACCACAAAATTCTGTTACATAGGATTCACCGAGGTGTTATATCTTGTTCGTAGGCATGACATTTGTCGATATTAAAAAAAGGCATAATATCAACAAGGGACCATGGACTTTAAGTCAATCTGTTACTGTTATAAAGAAAAAACTTTTTACAATTTGCAAGGCCACCTGCTGATATTGGCTTTGGAATGACAGGAGCCGTTAACGGCCTTATTTCCTTGTGTGTGTGCAGTGCAAGGCAGACATCTGTCCTCTGGGCGCACCTCGGGCATTAGCTCTTGGCGTTGGTGTAATTTCGTGAGCCCTTCACACGGCCGCGCTGGCCTGTGGTCTGTGCACCGTTCCACGAGCGTGAAGTAGCGCTCGACGCAGCCGTGGTACTCATCCCTCGTGAACAGTTCCTCGATCGCAGTCAGCTGATCCTGCACCTTCACGCAGAAGTCTGCATTGTTGAAGAGCTGCAGACATCAAGGGGCAAACATTGATCATGCATCATCAAAATGGAAACATATGATCAAGGGTGGAATACAAATAAAATAAAACGGGTTAACAATTACTGACATTAATCTTCAAGCGATTTAAGTTCAGCTGTGTGGTGTTGTGCCAGAGCACTTAAATCCAATTCCTGACCAAGGGCCACCTGAGCCCAAAATCTTAACATTGTTGATAAAATATCACTTTGTGGAAACAATGTTTGTCATAATATGTCACTGCCCTATGAATGTGGAATTTCTCTCAGGGTCAATGACAGATGAGCACACTTCAATGCAAACTTACTTTAAAACTCATTTGCCACTTCAGAAGTAAAATAAAAACTATTTTCTAATGTGGAAATGCCACGTTACAGTATAAAAAATTCACCACATTTACCAATTGCAGATAGAAAAATAGTGAAATACAACACTACCCATATTTATTATTTGGCAAAACCACATCATCAGAGGCCATTCTAAATGAGTAAAAAGCCCATACATTTTTATATGTTTGAGAAAAGAAACATTATATACAAACGACTGTCCTTTTTTCACTTCACTCAAGGTCGTCGGACATTTGTACGGGAGGCGTTCCAGAGAATTTTCAATGTCGCACCTGCACTTGGACGACCAGCTTCTCGATGACGTCGAGAACGATGTCCCAGGTGGCCACCTGCAGTTCGCGGCCGTACTTCCTGACGAGGCGAGTAAGCGACAGCGCAATCTCGTACGACACCACCACGTTGTCTTCCATCATGGCCTGCCGAGCATAAACGGGATTGGTTTGCCTCCCCACTTTTCCCTCCCAAAATCGGCTTATTTGTGTGCCCCATAATCAGACCTGTCCCCGCATACACCCTACCGGCATATACGGCTAAAAATATAAACAAATTAAAAACTACAATGACACATTTAACACCTACGACATTTAATTATCACCGACTAACTCGATAATAATTAACATTTACAATGTAACTATGCACTACTTTGTAACCCGGCATGACCATACCCTACGTCACCACTGCCATCATACAACTCGTCTCGTGTACCCCTGTGAGATGTCACACATACCACCCCCAGGGCTATACGCACCACAGCTTGGGAACCACTGCTCTATTCCATCCAATGATGGGGAGTAACATTGTTCACAAGATGCCAACTATACGACTACATCACATCCCAGTTAAATGGAGACAAGTCACTGTGCTAAGTCTGTTGAGTCCAGAAAAAGGAAGAAAATTTGAAATTTGTAATTATGGCCTATTATCTTGTGGTCAGAAGCTGAAGCATCAGTTTTTTTTTACAGATGCAGATTAACTGCCACATTGCTGTGCATCAAGAGTAATTTTTATGTCAATCCACTACTGCATGACGGCCGGTCCATTGACCATACTTCACCCATATTGGTTAATGCCGGTTAATGAAGGGTGGTTGGGTGGGGGTGTTTAAAATCAATTCAGATAATCACTCGCAACTGATGTTAGCCATGATGGGAAATTGAATTCAGGTTGTTGTCAGGTTCAGAGCGGAATGGGCCATCTAAAAATAAGGACACACTACGCACAACTGCAAGCCTTACCTTGAGAAAGGAGGGTAGCACAGAGGTGGGGGTGTTCTTCAGTGAAGGCAAACGGTAAGCACCCCAAAGAGCCATGCCGACAAAAAACACAGCCCCACGCAGCACAGGAATGTCCTTCTGATATTCTCTACAGGAAGCACAACAGCAAAGACACAAAACACATGGTTACAGTGGGGTTAACGGTCAAGAGCACAGAGCCAGCACTGTTGACATGGGGTGCGGATCACGGCTTTCAGTCACACCAGGATTCACCCGGGTTTTTAAATGTAACTGGTTGGTGGTATCAGCCAGGTCACCAACAAGTGAAAATTAAAACCCATCACAATAAAGTTGGTTTTCACCTTATTTCAGCTCATATTTAATTTTAAATGCCCACTTGAAAAGTGATAAACACTCTACGTAGGGCATATAATAGGAATGCTCCTAGTGAATAAAGAGCCCTAACGAAGTAACTTTAAAAATATTTTTGATCACATCTACCAGGACCAAATCACTCTCAGTGATTTAAACGGAAACCTCCTTCTCATGATTTGAACATAAATTGGTTGGGGAAAAAACCCGCTTATGTGGATTATTTGAATTGTGGGTGCCACTCACCGGCTCTCCATGATTTGGCACATGGTGCGGACACAACTGTGTCCAAGGTGGGTCCCAAGAAGATTTCGCATCAGCTGCAAGGCACAGAGCACCAAAACAGGCATTTTCACTTAACATGTGGGCAACACGCATGATAATAATCACCAAGCAAGTAACAATTTCACCTCCCCAGCCATTTGATGAACTTTCACGATTGAGGGTCAAGATTCTATTCAATAATGTACTTGTTTCCAGACCCGAGATCAATACCATTTACAGCAACACTGTTAGCAGAGATTATAATTAAGATTACTTTGTGATTAAAAGGAGCCGAAGTGGTTGAGTACAGCCAGCACCTATCTATACTCTCTGGTTCTTTCGCTAAAGTCACGTAGGTATAAAATAAAATAAATCACGACGTTTCGAGCACTTATCTAGTTTAACTTTGAAGTGTTGCTGAACCGTTTAATTTGTAATGAATTGCAGACACATTTTATAAATTGTGACTAATCTCAGATAAGATTGCCAAGATTGACTGCAGGTCTGATCGTCTTGTTCATGTGATCTTCCTTATAATGTGTATTGTTTTAGTACAGTACTTTGTTTTAGCTCGTTTGCGTAAAGGGTAATACCAGCATATCATTATTTCCTACTAACATGTTTCAGTCAGAAAAAAGTTTTACTGGCTGGATTCCTGCCTGGCTTGCTGGTAACAGCCAAGTGCACGCGTGTGGTAACGATGTCCCTTCGCATGACCTGCATGGTGATGTCACCTGCATCCCACAGCGTTGAGCCGGGTATGCGAGCCGGGTTCGTGGGTCGTGCCGACGCCACCCTTACCACCCACCCACCCTACACCCCCGGCTGTTTATCCCGCGCAAATCCACAGGATACACCATCATATACTATATACTGGAAAAAAGTTTTGTTTGTTCGCTGGTTGACACATCTAAAGTACATGTGGGCTGCTAGTTAGCTTAAAAGCAACATTTGGAGAAATGGGTCGAAATTTGCACAAACCAAAAAATATTAAAATTCCCACATGCCGAACTCGCTAAATAAAAAAAATTGCAAGCGTAGCATTTATCTTGAGACCAATTACCGTAGCATGCCCATTTAACCCAGCCTCTCTTGAAACTTTAATCCGCTTTTCGGTTGTCTGCAACGTCATTTGGTACTTCCGAGTGGTAGGGTACACACCTTCCAGCAGGCCTCCGAGAACTCCTTGACGTTCACCGTACGGCACAGCGTGACAATGAAGGCGCACAGTGATCCTGACGGCAGGCAGCTGTAGCAAACCACGGCGTCTAGCACCCTTAGAGAAGCCTGCACAACAAGCAGACAAGAACGTTGACGAGTATCACGGCTGTGTGTTCTGGGCTGTCCTAACATGGTCAGAAGTGCGTTAGTGCCACCACCCAAGTCACTCTTATACTTCTTAAATGAGTGCAGTAGCATGTTTTCTCATTAATGTCACTTCAAACCTGTGTCAACTACCCAAAAGTTGAAGTGTGAATCTGTAATATTAATAATTACACTCCTGTATAAAAAATAACTCCCCACAGCAGGTTTTTATTTGGGACATTTGGTTATAATTGACCACGCTGGTTAGTACACAGCTTTAAAGCAGGAATATCACTTGCCGATAAAGTTCACCATGACCTGGAACCGAACTTAATTCCAGGTTAGTAAATGTTGTACATGAACCACTGTCACTGGTCTGCTGCATTACATTATAATAATGCCATTAAGTTACCTAAGAGAGCTTAACATTTCTCTAGATTTATGGAGGGCAAAATTTCGGATGTTTGGTCATTTCCGTTTACAAGTGCTTGGCATGGGGAAAGAAACCAGGGTACCCAGAGAAAACATACATACACTCATGCAAAGCTCCGTACCGATGCCAAGAGACGCAATTGTTCTTTGCAATATTTTTTTGACCAATAGTTATGGCATACATTATAGGGCCATCAGTAGATGAATTACGATTCGATTAAATTTCATTCTGGTGACAATACAAAGTGTTTTTTTACCATATTGTGTTATGGCCCATAATGTGTCAGGACATCAAATAATCCTTCTAAAACAAAACACGTTATTTAAAAATTCACAAACCTCTATATCAGCTGCTTGATTGGTCATGTTACAAAGACGGTAGATTTTGCTGTCAAAAAAAACACACACAAGACATCAACATATCAACTAATGTGTTACAATGAATATCTACTATAATCACCCAAGAATGTCCTTAGCGCTCGTGATGTCACTCCACGTCGACCAGCCTCCCTCATTAATATTCACTACAAGGTGCAGTCCTGAAAAATGGACACCCCCCACCCCTACTCATTAGTCATGAACAGCTGACGTCCCTCCATATTGGGTACCCCCCCTCCCCCCGTCATTAATAATCGTTAACGGATGACATCACTCCACAAGAAAAAAGGTGGAGCGGAAACTTACATTTGTTAAGGCTTGCACTTTGCCACTATTATAAAGTAATCTACGAGTAACCTTATGTAACGTGCCAAAAACGTGTCTCCCGCGCATCATGTCACTCCACATACGGCCCCTCCCCTCATAAACACACATGTATTGCTGCATTTCATTACTAACGCCGAGGAAGTTGGAGCGACTATTGCTGCTTTTATAACGCCGATCACCCATCTTTATAGATATAACCATAACATTAATGCAACGTCACATTGCACTGCATTTCCCGTCTTCATTTGCTTCTTCGCCAGGTCTAACAAAAGGGAGGTCAACTGCGCGCTTCCAAATTATACGGAAATAAAAATGTATGCTAAAATCTAAAATTCTCAGCCGCTTTGCAGCTATTGACTCCAATTACAATTGTTTGCAACTCCGGCAAGCTAAAGCGGACCATAGCTACGTCTCACAGCACTGCACCTCAAGTCTTTGAGTGTCCGTGGAATAGTAGCACAGTGGCATTGCGCAAGCTGTTTCATCACATTCTTGCGTGCAACAATCACTGCAGTGCTGCAGTCTAATGCTGTAAGGTGTTTTATGGCTTCCTTTTGTGCTACATTAACCTCATATTAATACAGTGCTACAGTTACATGCAGTACGGTGTTTTATTAACATTTTTGCCAATATTCCCCGTAATTACATTCAGCTAATTTATAATCTGACGTCATTCCGCAAGGAGAAACGTGGAGCGGAAATTAAAATTGGTTTATTTTTCACCTACGTGACTTTACCGAAAGAACCAAAGAGTATGGATTCTTGCAGTCACGAAAACTTCAAATCTAGAATAGGCACAAATTTTATTTTTAACGTCCATTGTCCCCTCTAGAGCTAACCAGACAATTAATTCCACGCCACGTCAAACTAAAGCAAGGTCAACTTTACGCTTGCAAATTATGCTCAACTAAAAATGTCTGCTGTTTTGCCACCTTTGCCTCGTATTCAAATTGTTTGCTACTCCGGCGAGCTACAGCACACCATGAGTAAGTCTCAGAGCACTGCACCCCAAGTAATTGAATTTGTTTAGGTGCAAAGTGCCCCTTCCTTCTTTATGGAGACATTTCAGTGATTTTGCAGATAGTATCGATTTCCAATTTACTTCAAAACACAGCGACAGAAAGCAGAAGAGAATAAAGTATCAGAGCCGTGAATTTGATCAAATTGAAGGTCAGTTATATACAGTGATACAGTGACATGAAGTGAGATGTATGATGACGTACTTTGTGCAAGATTCAATGCCATAAAATTTACACAAGACTCTGCTCAATTTTTTCATAAATATTACAGCTTCCGTCCTAGGATGGGCAAAGATGCTAGTCTTTTATATGTTTTAATATCTATTGGTTGGCTTAAGCCAAGTTAAGAGTTTATATGAAAAAAAATTAACAACCACAATAATGTTAAATAGACAAGTCCACTTACTGAACGATCTGAGCAACCTTGTCCTGGTCTAGGTAAGACGAGTTGAACTTGACGATGTTGACCAGAATGTACAGAAAGTCCAGCGTCAGTCCATTCTGCCTGGTCTCGTCCATCCATTGCAGAATAAAGGGGCCTGTACAATGTCCAGACAGCAGGAACTTTGATTAGGGCATTTCACTCCACGGAAAGAAAAAACCCAAGTGGAATTTCCACTACTTCGAGCTATCAAAAGACCTGAATGCTGCCACAATGCAGTAACTTAAATGCATAATTGTTTCACGTGCAATTTACCACGATGCTCCTCCTGCATTAACGAATACACCATCCCTTTCAAATGGGAGATTGGACTCGCTGCTTGTTCAATATAAAATGGAAGTGCTCTTAACGCATAACATGGACCTTATTTAACATGCATACCACTGAAATCTGAAGTTATATTTCAAATTATTCATGTTATTTCATATTAATATTGATCATGCTCATTTTATAAGGTTTGTACAAAGTTCATAATGACCTCTGAGCCATCATTTTATGTATTTCAGTTTGATCCAGGTCTCCCTTGATTACTCTCAATGGCCTCTCGCATGGCTCTAAATATGTTAGTGAAAAACACATGTTGAATACATTACCTATGTCATCATCGATGTAAGTGATATCCTTTCCGTGATCCGTCAACGCTTTAAAGATCTCCATCCTCTGCACGAGGTCATCATTCAGAGGATAGTCCCTGACTATTCGGAAGAAGCTCACGCGGAGGATACCCAAACGGTTACCCTGAAAACAAAAAAACAATTAGGGCAATGAACAGAGAGAATAATTACTTAATCATGTTTGTTTAACACGTAAAAGCAATGTTAACGGTCACTTAAAACTTACAAATACAGCAGGAGCAGCGCTTGCAATTGAGTCTTGGGCATTAGCAATACTCTTTGACCTCCAGTCTGGGGTCAATTATTTTTTACATCTTACTGTTGCCCATCTCTCTGTACCCCAAACAAGTGCATATAGGCCTACCATAATCAGAGAGTCCTCCAAGGCAGAGTGAACATGGCTATAACCTGGCAAGGCCGAATACCTAAATACTAATTGGTGGCTGGAAGAATAATGTATCTATATATAAAGCCACATTGCATTTCACATTGTCTGGAGATCCAAGTTATATCGACATTCACAACATTTATACTGTAATGTGTTGCACTATAATATGCAAAATCGTATCATAATGCTTGTTAAGTATCATCTGCAAAAAGTAATATACCTGCTTGGATTATGAAATGTAGAAAAAAACCTAATCCAGAGTCAAAGGTTTTCAAAGAAACGTGAGAACTATTTAGCACCTGAAATGTGTGCCAGCTCCGTAATAACTTTAAAGTTTTGCATTCATTTTGCCAACGTCCAGTCGTCGGTGCCCTTCCCATACCTGTCCTTGAATGATAGCCTTGAGTAGAGACAGTACTGTGTGCCTGGCTTCGGCAGGCTGCTCAGGCATCAGCAGGTCTGAGACTGTGCACCACAGAGCTTCCACTGCATGCTGAGACAGGCGAGAGCAAAAACACATTCGAAGTCATCTTTTTCAAGGTGGCAAAATTAGCAAGTCTGAACGAATATAAAGCACACTTTCCTCACCACATATGTACAATCAGCATAACGAATACCATAAAGATAAACACACATTGCTTCCCATATGAAAAATTGAGCCGTTCATTGACAAGACAGACCTTTCACAGCCCTTCCCTACCCTGGTAATTGTATCCAATCCCTGCCTGCTGGGTGCACCAACTCCGAACCAACATATCACAATAACAGCAGCTCAATATCACAGTCTCATGACAGCTGCAGGGCCAACATACACAAGCAGAAAGATTACAAATAAACACCCCCTTTGACTTAAATCTCCTCCCTTCTCACCGTTTATTCATAATTGTAAAGTGAATATTGTAAAAAATTGTGTTGCTACAGTCTCTCAAAAACATGTATTGGTGGTGGCTGTATGAGCTGGGCAATTCACATCATCCTAGCCTGGAATAATTATTTTCTAAGAAACAAGAACGATTAGGAACTGTGGAATTTTTGGCTGGGCAAGGCTGCACGAGTCCAGCGTGGCATTCCGGCAGAAAGACTGCCACTTAGTAGCATCGCAATTGAATATGGCTGATACCGATACAATATTTATGACGTTTCTGATCGATACCAGCCATCAAAAACAGCCAGTACCATCCATGTAATTTATTTTATTACGCCTACTCAGGAAAGCCTCACTTAGTCCGAAGTATTTTTTTCAGGAATCCAAAAGTAAATATATTAAACAATACATAACCATGGAAGGAACACAGGTGACATACATTTGGAGCAGGAGAAAAAAATTCCAGTTATGTTTATCCTGATATTGTCGAGTGGCTGCAAAATAAGTGATGTTTTATGGTAAAAGTAATCTCTCAATACAGTTTCAAATATCATGTTTAAATATTTAATCATAACTACGGAGCAGAAGCCATAGGTCTTTGATGCAAAGTATCAACAAGAGAGAACTAGAGTAAGGATAGTGAGGTGGCACGTGTCTTCAGTCCAGTTGTGAAATTTGAAAGACAGAAGGGAAACCCAGATAAGAACACCACAGATAGCTCTCAGAGAGTGAGAGACTTGAATTAATCCTTTACCTCTTCCAGTCTCTTGGTTTTAACAAGGTCGGACATTTCTTTTATTGCTTTAATTCTGTTACTAAAGCCATTGTCCGCATTCATGTCCTGCAAAGAGAATTGAATTACATTTAAAGTTACTGAAAAACAATTATTGCACAGTACTGTCTACAGCATCATTCACTAGGCACAGATTGATATACACACTTTTTTTTTTACTGGGACCGCAACAATACACAAGTGCATTATCCATAATCTTAAAATGAATGGACAATCAAAATGAATGCATTTTTCATGAACCATGTACAGTAACTATGTATCAATTCAGATTAAAATAGAAATATCCATGGGATCCTGCATGCAAGTAGAGCTTAGTTATTATTCACAAACATTGTATGCAATTGATTTATGTGACCCTTGCAGCAACTAGGTGCTACATTACCACAACATTGATCATTTAATTGTGACCATCAAAAATCACAAAAGAATCATTAACATCGTTATTGACAAAGTTACAGAATAAATAAGCAGACAATAACATCTCGTTAATATATCTGTCCTTCTACATGAAACAAACTAATTTTTTTTACACTTCCCTTGAACCACAAAAGTCTTCTGTGAGTGCATAATTTCAGCATCAAATGTTCCATTTGGTGGCCAGGCTAAAGGTGAAAATTCCACATTCCTGTGGTAGGAACCAATGTTTCTGTAAGACTACTGCTGCCTTCCCACAATGTAGCACTAATACTGGTAGGAACCTCCTGGTTACACCAGCCCACAGGGGATTATTGTGTCCGTGCCGGGAGGGGCTGGGAGGGGCTGGTCACCCCGTGGTGCCCCTAAAAACTCAATGTTTAACCTACTCACGCCGGCTTGTGCCCGCCCTCACAGTCGGACATATTTGCGGAATACACCACGCTGCCGTTGACCCTGGCCATTGACCGAGCAACCCAACGTTCCTACCAGCTTCCTCCACAGGATTGTGTTTTGTTCAACGCCATGGGGATGAACGAAAAATAACCCAAGGGAATCATTATAACATCCGTCCACATGCCGAGTTGTCAAGCTCTCACAACACTAACAAAAGCTCCATGGTCAGATGATTGAAAAGCAATAACAAGTCTGCTCGAGCAAAAGTTGAGATGGCCCCACGCTCACCCGGAGGCGATCTTCCGTGATGATGAACTCGACAGGCTTGATATCTGGTATGTCCTTGACATGCGGATTCTGTCCCAGTCCCAGGAGGTTCTTGACCTTATCCTTTAAGGAATCTTTGGTGGGATGTTTCGACATTGTGACCAATTAACCTAGACAGAAACCACACACGTACACGAGAAATTATGCAAGCCGCTTCGTAGCATACCCGCATCATCAGCCAATGTCAATTCACTGCCGGATGAAGGCCTTGCATGCCACCACAATACTGGACACGTTGCAATCCATCTTCACGCAAGCCGATTTAATCGCTCCATTTTTATCAAGAGAACACCGTCTCAGGCACGTTCTCTTTGTGGGATCCCAATTTATTCCCCCCCCCCACCCCATTTTACAGCAAGTCGAACGAGGGTTGGTCCATTTATAGCCTGTGTGCAGCATGTAACATGTACATTTCTGGTCAAATCTAGTTTATCTTAGCACCGCTTGCTCCTACACCCTTGAAACAGACACCACACCAAGGTTGGTGGATCCAGGGCTGCTTCGGATATGGGGACATGGATTACACAGGTCAAGTCAGAATCGATTAATCCGATGAGCTATTAAGCTATTTTTCACAAACGTTCAGTCGGGGCGGCTCAACAAATTACAACAAAAAATACAGAAAAACAATATAAGTGCAAAATACAGAGAAAGGTAAGCAAGTCACTAAAATAAATATAAAGTATAACACGTAGGCTTTCGCGACCAATATTATTTATAATAAGAGCTTTTTCGGTTAGATTGCGTAAGTATAAATGTATCATAACCCTCCAACAACCGACACAGCCAACAATTAGTAAATGTTGCGGATTTACTCTCCAACACACCGGTGGGCTGAAGTAGCAAATAATTGGCGCGTTGTTAACGTGACAAACCTTACTGGCCACGTCGGTTAGTGGAGGCTTACGATATTTATACTCACGCGATCTAACCCAAAAACCTTGATGAAAGTGTAAGTAATGTATCCATTCTGGCAAGTGCTGTTGAAGGGCACAATACCTAGCCTCTCGCCAAATATTCCGTATCGGGCTCCCAGAATTGGCAGCTGAACTTGTACAAAAGATACTCTAGAAAAGTGGCTCAACGAAAGCACTTGGCCACTTTGATCAAACCCTTCAAGCGAACCTCTCTCGGACCAACATGGCCATATGTAATGCCGACCAAAATAATGCCATCGTCTCCAAGGGCACACATAGGTCCCATTGCACCAATTGGACCATAATACCATGCACGGAACAACACCACCTGTGCCACTTGAGGCCCCTTCGAGGTGCCACACTAAAAGTCCCTCCCCGTGTGCCACACAGGGTCACGCATGGGGGGGAGAGCGGGCCCACTTGTGCCAACCTACGCCCTCCAAAGTGAGGTGCCACCCCCCAAAGTCGTCACCTTTGCCACAACAAAAAGTGGCCGAGTCTGGTGCCACCACGGAGCCACTCAAGAGAAAACTCCGCCAACTTCGCAGCGGGCCCCCTCCGTGGAACCACCACGCAAATCAACTGCGCCACCCAAACTATGGAATCCAGCCAAGGTGCAACGCACCCAACCCAACCACCCCCACTGCCAATGCATGCAACTGGAGTAGGAGGGGGGGGGGGGGTCATCTGTCACCAAAGCTGGCAATTGCCTGGTGCAATCCTGGTGCAACCGCGATGCAACCCGCAAAAAAAGGCGCGTTCTCCCGACTCACTTGACACGAGGCCGCAGGATAAAGCGAAGGACTTAGAGCCGGTGGAGTGAGCGAGCAAGATTGTTACAATGCAAGCGAGAGAGAAAGCGAGAGCCTGGCCTCAGCCCTGCCAGGCGCTCTGCTCGGCACGTCCGGCCGCCGCGACTTTCAATTCCGGGGCCGCGGTCCCTTGGGGCGTGGCCCGTGGTGGTGGGGGGCGGAGCTGAGACAGCAGAGGAATCGATTCCTTGTTGCGGTAACGGGTTAGTGACTAACTCGGGTGGAATCGATTGTAGTTATTGAAGAAGGGGGTCGGGGGTGGGGAGGGGGGTCACGTGACGCGGCGGGGCGGGGGGAGAGGGGGAGGAGTGTTGCCAGATGAGAGGTTTTTTGTTTTTTCTTCTTTTAATTGTAATTTCGTTAAATTTTGACTTAAAGCTTTCGTGACTGCAGGAATTCATATTCTATGGTTCTTTCGGTAAAGTCACGTCGATAGAAAATAGAATAAAAATATTAATAATAATAATAATAAACTTTTTTTATTAACAAAAATAATTAAAACAAAATTCTTTTTTTTATTAAAAATTATATATTTTTATATATTTTTTTCCTATCTACGTGACTTTACCGAACGAACCATAGAAAATGTAATTTAGTTCTTACATTCAATCGTTCGTAGAATCTTTTCTCAAACCTGTTTTTAAAGCTAGTGATACATTTTGTAATCACGGTTCATTTGTGTCTAGGGGGGGGGGGTGACACAAAACTGGTAATCGTCAGGTTAGAGTGGTGGGGGGCTCAGTGGCATGCACGTGCCGTATGTTGAACTTCTTTCGCACCGTACGTCGCCAAGCCGTGCCAAATCGGAGTTGCGGGGGGGCAGGGAAGGAGAGAAATTGAAACACAAAAGGCATCATCGCTTGATGATGCAGTTCCGCGCCGTGTGGCCCCATTCAGCGATTTCCAATCAAATCGCATAAACCCATTTGCCTAATTACACTCCAAGTCCAATTAGCAACGTGCACACAATGTCATCACCGTGCACAACATCTGATTTCAGTTGAATCTTGTTTCGTTCAATTTTCAGTCAATTGGCTATTGTTTATGCTCAAACATAGACCTTGCTGATTGTTTGATTATAACTATGTTCATTGAAAAGATGCAACGTATTGCCACTTAAACGTTCGTTCAACGTTGTTCCAACGTTCCATATTCCCTGGGTTCTTAGAGGATTCCGAATTGGAAGGTTGTGAATCCAAATACAGGAGGTTGAATCAACCCATCATCCCCAAGTGGTGGAAAAATAGGTACCACTTTGTGGGAAGTAAACCCTTTTCACCACTGGCTCAGAGCTGAAAATGAGCACAGTGTCATTAATTGTTAATAGTAGAAAACATTTTGCCTTGGCTGTAATGTAGAAGGCTACACATTTACACGGATGCTATGAAAGTAAATGGGTTCTCGAAACTTTTTCCCCCAATTTTTTTTACCACGCTGAAAGTGATGTTTACATGTGTAATAAAAGGACTCGAACACTTCTTTCTGTCTTCGTGTCTTTATTCAGGTTCACGTCTTTACCCACACGGCACTCTGTTATAACTCCTGTATTTGTAGCCCCCGGCTATTCACTTCTATTATAGCTTCCTCTCCCCTCTGACTCTCTGCTTCATCTACTGTAACCTCCTCCCTGCAGACTCGCTGCTACCCCTATGTGCAGACCCTCTGGCTGTCACTATATGCAGACCCGCTGCCCACCCTCTCTGTGCAGCCCCGCTGCTGACTGCAGCCTCCTCGCTGCTTCGGGTCGGTCACCGCTGGCCAACGGTGCCGATCCTCGCTCCCCCCGTGTTCGTGGCGATCTCGCCACACCCCGCTTCGCCCTTCGTGGCCTTCCTCTGTTCCTGGTTCCCCGTCACCCCCCTTGCTCTTCCGGTTCCCCTCCTTCTATACTCAACCCCTCTGCCCCCCACGTGACCTAACTCCTCCCCCCCTGACGGCACCTCAGAAGGGCCGTTTACAACCGCATTACATCACCCTCCCCCCTAAAGAAAATCCAGCCGACCTCGGCTGAATTGCAACCTGAAAAGCAATGCGGGTGTAAAGGGCCAACACGCAAAAAGACACGAAGCATTGAAGACATTATAACAATAACACAACGCAACACAATCTAACGAAACGTGAGGGATTTCGAGCGAGTACGGGTAGCCGGGCCGTCCCGGACGGTCGGCGGCCCACCCGCCGAGCGGGAACGTGGAAGGGTTTTAGGGGCGACGGGCGCAAGTTCTTCCGTCGCCATTGGAGGCCCGCCACTGTCCCGCTCGCGTCCAGAAACATCCCGTACTCGCGTCCGCGGAGGGATAGGAAGAGCTGCAGGTCCCGTGGGTTCTGCGGCTCCGGTCGGCGTCCCACAAGCGGAAGGTCCTCCTCCCTGCGCTGTCACGGCCGGCTTGTCTGTGAAGGGTACGACAGGCGCTCTCGCAAGGTCAGCAGACACAGGCAAGGGCGAGTCGGCAGCAACAGACCCCGGCAAGGCAACTTGGGGAGATGACGCATCCGGCCGTGGGGCAATGTATGGCTTCAACCGGGACGTGTGCACGAACCAACGCCGTGCACCAACCTGAACACGCGCCGACTGTGGGTTGGGAACCTCAATGAGGCGGACCGGACCCTGCCAAGGTCGATGTAATTTAGGAGATGTACCTGGCCGCACCTGTGGGCAATGAAGCCAGGCCAGGTCCCCCTTTTTCCAGGGACACTCCCCCTTTGAACGTCGGGCACACCGCTCATTCCTGGCCTGAGCCTTGGCAGTAGCCATGCGGGCATTTTCCCTCGCCTCAGCGACACGCCGAACGTTGTCCTTAATATACTCAGGAAGAGGCTTAACAGGCCCCCTCGCACCGGTTCCCAACTGGTCATGAATCGGCGGCACGTTCTCACGGCCGTACATAAGGAAAAACGGCGAGTATCCAGTAGCCGCGTGCGGCGTCATGCGATACGCCGAAAGCACCCCAGGGATATGCAAATCCCAATCAGATTGGTTTTCCCCGACTGTATGGCACAGCATGGCGGACAGAGTCCGATTCAACCGTTCCACCATACCATCCGTTTGCGGGTGGTAGGGGGACGTCCGTATCTTTTTAGTTCCAAGAGCCGCACACACCTCCCCCAACAATTTAGACGAAAAGTTACGTCCCTGATCCGTAAGGAGCCTCTCCGGAGCCCCTTTGTCCATTACATACCCAAATAGAAAGGCGTCCGTGATAGACGCCGCTGACTGGTCAGGCAAGGGCCAGGCCATCGGCCAGCGAGAGAGGTACTCCACCCCCACCAGTAAATACTTATTCCCTTTAGCTGATGGCGGAAAGGGTCCCAAAATATCTAACGCCACCAACTCATTAACCCGAGATACTTTAATCGATTGTATCGGCGGAACATATGGATGTTTAGGCGGCTTACGGCGGGCACAATCGGGACACGCGCGAACGTGACCGACGACATCCGTCGTCATGCCGTGCCAATAATAGTCTCGTTGCAGCGTCAATAGGGTTTTCTGCACCCCCAGGTGTAAAAGTGTGTCACAGTGCAAAGATCTAATCAACTCATAGCGCAATGACGCAGGCACAACGAGACGCCAGTGTTCCTGTATCCCTTCCCTCCACATCAGTAACCCATCTCGGAGAGCAGTTTCCGAATTACCACCCGCACCGACTTCCTTACCCGCCTTCTCCGTTCGTTTCCGTAACGACACCAAAGAATCGTCCAACATTTGCTCCCGAATCCACACAGACCTTGGAAGACGCAAAATCCCGTCAGCCGGTCCCCCTTCAACCGGTCCCGGTGTAAGCGGAGGTTCGAGAACATCCACTGCCCGCGCGACAGGCTGAGGGGGGGGCTGAGCCGGTCCACACCTATGCGTCCCCGACGCACACGCACAAGGGGATTGTTGCGGCAACCTGGACAGTGCGTCCGCGTTAGCGTGACGCACACCCTTCCGATGGTGAATTTGGAAGGAGAATTCTTGCAACGTGTCCAGCCATCTCGCCAATTGTCCGGATGGCTGGTCCATCTTAAGAGCGTACTGCAAGGCCGCATGGTCCGTTCGGACAATAAACGACCGACCGTACAGATACGGTCGAAATTGGCGGAGAAAATACACAATAGCCAAAAGTTCCCTGCGAGTGACGCAGTAACGAGTTTCCGCGGGAGACAAAACCCGACTCCCGTACGCCACCACACGCTCAACACCACCTTTTGACTGGGACAACACCGCCCCAATCCCGGTGTCACTCGCATCAGTATCCAGAATGAAGGGATGTTCAAAATCCGGATAATCCAACGTCGGCGCAGTAGCCAGTAGGTCGCGCAGGCTCCGAAACGCCGCCTCCTCCGGCGGTCCCCACACAAATTTGTGCCCCTTCCCAGTAAGGAGATGCAAAGGCCTGGCGATAGTAGCGAAATTCGGAACAAACCTCCGGTAATATGAGGCGAACCCCAAAAACCGACGCACATCACCCACCGTGGCGGGGGTTGCCCAATCCCGGACACACGCAGTTTTCTCTGGATCCGTGGCCACCCCGTCCGCACTAACAATATGTCCCAAGTATCGAACGGAACGTTGCAGTAGATGACATTTCTTAGGCTTGAATTTCAAATTAGCAGAACGCATTCTGGCAAAAACGGCCTCCAACCGCAATAAATGCTCATCAAATGTGCGGCTGAAGACAATAATATCATCTAAATAAATGAGACATGTCTCCCACTGCAACCCCGTCAATACCAACTCCATCAATCTCTGAAAGGTGGCAGGGGCTGCATTCAACCCCATCGGCAGACAGTTAAATTGGAACAACCCCTGCGGCGTACGGAACGCTGTCTTTTCCCGCGAGGGCTCGTCAAGGGGAAGCTGCCAGAAGCCCGAAGAGAGATCTAGCGTTGAAAAAAACTTAGCCCCTGACAAGGCGTCGAGAGAATCGTCCATACGCGGCAGGGGATACGCATCTGCCACCGACACTTTATTTAACTTCCGAAAATCCACACAAAATCGTAATTTACCATCTTTCTTTTTAACCAACACGACAGGCGCACCCCACGGGCTATTAGACGGAGATATAATATCCGCTTTCAACATGTCTTCCACTGCCCCTCGAACGTGCTCACGCTCAGCCGGACTCATCCGACGCGAGTTCAAGCGGATAGGGGCCGCGTCCCCCGTTTCGATGTGATGAGAGAGCAGCGAGGTGCGTCCCAAGTCCAAATCGTCCGAGCTAAACACATCGGAATAGCTCGCTAATAATTTATGAATCGCACAACGCTGCTCAGCGGAAAGGGCCGAATTTTCCGCACATAATTCGGCGATCCAACGATCGTCCACCCCTCCGTCGTGTGAAACACCACCCACCAGCCCCCCGTCCGGAATGTCACTCTGAGCCGTAAACGCCGTAGTGGCGTGTGCCACAACGGTACCAGCCGGCACACACACGCTTTCAGAAGTCGCATTTAACACCTGCAAAAACGGGCGCTGATCCGGACGGACAATGGTTTGCGCCCCCACCAGTGCCAATCCGCCCGTAACAGCGGCGGACGGCGACAGCAAAATTCCACAAGCACTCTGCCGACCCGGAACCGGCTTCCGGTATCGTAGGGGAATGAGCATCTGCGAGCCAGGTGGAATATCAACTGAAACTTCCGATAACGCCTGCACCTGGGCAACCGGAGCCGGTCGCCCCCAGGTGGACTGTAAAAACGCCAATTTGCGGCCCCCTGGCAGTTCAATGCAATTTTCATTGATTCTAATTAAAATGGGCATCTTAGCCAAAAAATCCGTGCCCAACAAGCAAGGAACCGCCAGGGACCTCGAAATTAACACAACGCCCGAGGCCGAGACCCCCCCGATAGAAATATTAGCGTCCACCTGTCCCACGATGCCCATACTACCCCCGTTCGCAGCGATGCAGGAAGCGTAAGCCGGCCTCACGGCCCCCGGTGGGATGTTCAAAAGATGGAATATGACATCCGAAATAATGGTCGCGGACGCCCCGGAGTCCACCAAAATACGCACGTCCACCCCTTGGATCGACCCCGGTACAGTGGACGAACCTGTAGTGGCCGCGACAACCCGCCGAGCCAACTTACGCCACTGCGTTATCGAGCGACAAGGCGCAGATACTGGCCTCCCATATTTTAGAACATCCGCGTCGCACAACAACGGCGATGAGTGAGGTGTCAGGCCTTGCCGGGTGTCTGGTGCGCACCGACTTGCCTGTGCCGGAGGGTCCTTCTTTGGGACGTCCGCGATCGAGGCCTCCTGCTGGGGCGGCCCCGGAACCCGGGCCCAGCAGTCCCTGGCATAGTGGCCCCGACGGCCGCAGCGGAAACAGTCGACGTCGGGTCGGCGCGCAGCAGGCACCCCGTCCCGACGTGGCCGCGCCGGCGGCGGAGCCCGCGGCCCCGGCTCGCTTCGAGCCGGCCACGGAGTGGAGGCGGCCGACAGCTCCTTTGGGCCGGTCGCATCCGGCACGTACACGGCCTTTGTAGGGTCCCACCCTACGGCCCCCCCATCGACGACAGGACCGCCCGTCCACGCCGTGACTTGTTTCCAGCGGCGGAGATTGAACTGGGCGTCCAAACACTTAGCCGCGGTCCGGGACGTGAGTTTCTCGTGACCGCAAGCCGGCATAGGAATGCCCAGATCCCGGGATAACTCCAACATCTTCCCCAAGATGAGAGGTTCCAGCAGGTCAGGCTCCGTCTCCGGGTAAGCGGCCATCGCGAGTTCCAGCACGGCGCCCCTGTACGCTACAGGCGACTCCTCCGGTGCGCGTTGCCGCTGCACGAAGCGGCGATGGGCGTCATCCGGTGGCTCGTACGCGTCCGCCATTTCGTCGAACACTCCACGCAATGTTTTCTTCTTCGCAGCTTTTATAGAGCGAAAAAAACGAACAGACTCATCGTCAAGGAGAGTCGGAAGCACCTCCAGCGCCTCGGCGTCCGTCCACCTTGCCGTTCGTACCGCCGCCAAAAATCGACAAGCGAACGCACTCCAATCGCCCCCGATGGAGAACTCCTTAACAGTTGTAAGGTGACGACTGCGGCTCCTTGGCCTGCTTCCGTCCGTCACCGACTCTTCCGGCGGCAAGTTCAGCAAGGCGTCGCAACGCGGTGTCGCCAAGATGGCGGACGATCTTCGTGGCGGCCCCAAGATGGCGGCTTTCCGCCTTCCGTGGTGCGCCACGCCCAAGATGGCGTCTTCACGCCGCGTGGTCGATGGCGGCGCCATCGAAGACGACCCGGGCTCCTGCCGATCACCACCATCACCTTCCAACGCCGCCCTTGGCGTGACAAGGTCACACAACTCCGTGATGACGGTTTTTAGGGTCGCCAGTTGCTCCGCCATCCGGGTCCATCTTAAATCTTCGTCCTTCAACGCAGATGGGTCGGGCGCAGCGGCAACCTCCTCCACACCCGGGCCCTCACGGATCTCTCCCTCCGCCGAAGTGAAGCCGACCTCAGGAGGAAGATCGTCGTCGTCCGATGATGAAGCCGACGCCGGAGATGGGATATTCTTCTTCCTCAGTTGTTTCGCCATGCCGTTTCACTTCTGACTCCAGTGTAATAAAAGGACTCGAACACTTCTTTCTGTCTTCGTGTCTTTATTCAGGTTCACGTCTTTACCCACACGGCACTCTGTTATAACTCCTGTATTTGTAGCCCCCGGCTATTCACTGCTATTATAGCTTCCTCTCCCCTCTGACTCTCTGCTTCATCTACTGTAACCTCCTCCCTGCAGACTCGCTGCTACCCCTATGTGCAGACCCTCTGGCTGTCACTATATGCAGACCCGCTGCCCACCCTCTCTGTGCAGCCCCGCTGCTGACTGCAGCCTCCTCGCTGCTTCGGGTCGGTCACCGCTGGCCAACGGTGCCGATCCTCGCTCCCCCCGTGTTCGTGGCGATCTCGCCACACCCCGCTTCGCCCTTCGTGGCCTTCCTCTGTTCCTGGTTCCCCGTCACCCCCCTTGCTCTTCCGGTTCCCCTCCTTCTATACTCAACCCCTCTGCCCCCCACGTGACCTAACTCCTCCCCCCCTGACGGCACCTCAGAAGGGCCGTTTACAACCGCATTACACATGTAGTCCAAGTATTGTTTAAATACTGTAGGCCTAAGCCATATACATTCTCAACTGCAATGAATCTTTGCACCCGATTAATGTGCACGGAAACTGCGTCATACCCCATTTGCGACCCACCTTACCATTCACAAAGTCCACGAATTACCATTCACAAAGTCCACCATTCACCAAGTTCACGACTTTGTGAACGATTTTTTTTTCATGATATGACATAACTTTGAAATTTTAAAATTTTTATTGAATAATGTGTGTACTCTGCTGTATTTCCAGTTCCAATAAGATAAAAAAACGAAAACTATGTTTTATTTTACCAGATAAGGCTCACTGAGGTGTATAGCTCTTTTCCCAAAGCGACCTGGCCACCAATGATAGCTTAACTGATTGGCTTATCACGTGGACATACACAAACTGTATACAGACTTATAATCTAAGGCACACGCCCTAAGTCGCGCAAGCAAAAATGAAAAAGTTAACAAAACTAAGATAATCTCATCGAATAAACCTCACGTAGTCGATTACTCTGAAAAACATTGTGCAAAGGTGCCACTTTAATGGGTAATGCGGCTTTTCTGTATGTAGATCTTTAATTATAGTTTTTGTTTTACTTCGTTCTTGTTTCCAAAGTAATAAATGAATAAAATGTAAAAAGCCATGATAGTCACGATATAACAAAACGGTATTTTGCAAAAAATTAACAATATTGTCGGGGACCTTATATCGTACGATTATATTGTAGTATCACCATTCGCAGCAACCATGGTTGTAACTTAATACTGGTAGGAACCACCTGGTTCCACCAGCCCACAGGGGATTTTTGTGTCCGTCCGTCGTGCATCCAAAAATGGGAGGAGTGGGGCTGGGTGGGGAGGGGAGGGTGGGGAGGGGCTGGGTGGGGAGGGAGGGTGGGGCTGGGTGGGGAGTGGGAGGGGTGGGGCCGGGTGGGGAGGGGCTGGTCACCCCGTGGTGCCCTTATAAAACTCAACGTTTAACCTACTCACGCCGGCTTGTGCCCGCCCTCAGTCGGGCATATTTGCGGAATACACCACGCCGCCGTTGACCCTGGCCATTGACCGAGCAACCCAACGTTCCTACCAGCTCCCTCCGTAGGAATGTGTTAACTCACTTTCTGGGTCTGATGTGACACCGTTTATAATTTAAAACTTTCTTTGCAAAGTAAAACATAACAGTTATAGCAATTGGAAATACCGACGTTTATTGGGCATGGGAATAGACTTTAAAAAAAACCTTTACAAGTGTAATTACGTTGTGGTGCATGAGACTAACATGAACTTTTTCGAAATGGACACAAAACAAATTGAATGCAAATCACCTATTATTGGTTCTTTCGGTAAAGTCACGTAGAAGGGAAAATAATAAAAATATAAAATAATAAAATTCTCACCACGTTTCGACTGCAACCCAAGCAATCATCATCAGGTGTGGATTTCACACCTAATGATGATTGCTTAATTGTTTTATATTTTTATTATTTTACTGTTTCCCTTCTACGTGACTTTAGCGAAAGAACCAAGAATATGAATCCCTACAGTCACAAAAGCTTTAAATCAAAATGCAAATTACATGTTAACATTACTTAAAATTGTTACTTTACTTGGCATAACTGAACCCTATATTTGAATATTGTAAATACACCATTTTAATGGAATCGCACACAGTTCTGTAAGCATCCGTACTATAACTACACACAAAGGATTTTTTTTTGCATTTGTAATACAATACAGTACACGACTTCACCCCACTGATGTGTATAACAAACATTTTAAAAAACTAATTTGAGAAGCGCATTTCAATTGTAATAAGAACATTTTACTGAAATTCTCATAATAATATAATGTATTGTCAAAATAACGATAATATAATGGCAATTATTTACCGAATAAAAACCTCACCAGATATTAAAGACTTCTTTTTCAGAAAACTCATGCACTGAAATATTTAAACAATACCATTATGCCAGCTATTACAATTATTTACCTAAGGTAGAGCAGCATGGTGCATTGTTTTACGCACTGCACTGTGAACATGGTGACGAGATTTTAATTCTTGATCATGGTGAACATCAGTGGAAAAATTACATGCCGATCCAGTCCAGGCACATCCCCCTTCAACAACCAACACCGACCAGCTTTTGTACTTGTCAAACGCCCCTCATAATTAAAAACAATGTGGGGAGGCCTTCATCCAATTGGGGTAAACACAGGATGAACACAAAAGCAATGCCCTATTATAGTACATTATGCCGTCAAGTAGTTAATGCACGATTAGTTTTGTTATCCTGGACTACACGTTATTTGCATATTATAAGCAACAACAACATTCCACGTGCTCTTATTTTATACTCAACGTAGGTAGAGTGATCATGAGTTGTAAGAGGGTCAACTCCTTCGGGAGTTTATCGATTTTTAAATCATCCCTTAAAGTGTGTCCTCGAAATAACGTGGGCGGATGTACCGTGTGCTGCATATCACAGGGGGTTTAGCGGGGGGGGGGGGGGGGGGCTATCCCTAAAAATGAAAATAAACAAAATAACTACTAATTGACCCGCGAAGAGAAACATTTGTACAATGTGCAAACTATTATTGACTTGTTGTTAGAAGTGTCTTCACACTGCGCGCAAAGGGAACGCACCAGGCCGTCCCAGTTTCGTGCTGCTCACGAAGTCACTTGAGATCATTGGTGGTTTCAGTGTTTTTGTTCCCCATTTCTTTTATATTGCCGTTTTAACATGCATTAAGCTCTCTCCATCCGTCTGTCGATCGAGGGCGAAGAGATGGGGTGGGAGGGGGTGCACGCTAACTTTCATAAAGATGATCCAATATGAACAAAAGATAAGTATAAAGGTACGTTACTTTTAGGGCCTTATCCTAGAGAAAGCCTGGCCAAATTGATCAAAGCGTTGCCCAAAACTTGGTGATGAAATCAGTGCTAAAAGGTTATTCCTTGCCAGTAATGTAATGGCATCGTATGCCACGTCTGCGCATTGCCTATTGGTGACATCTCACGCATTCTCGTTGCATGGCTGAAAGCCCTCACGTTGCTTTTGCCAATTAAATATTTACTATATTTAACTACTATTTGTATTTCACCAGGTAAGGCCCACTGAGCTATATAGCTGTTTTTCAGAAACGACTTGGCCACAAATGATAGCTCAACGAAGTGGCTTATCACGTGGAAATGTATAGCAGCCAAACACTCCAAACGCATGTTTCTAAATGTGAGGGGAAAAACCAGAGGTCCCGGAGAAAAATCCACGCGACCATGGGGATAACATGCAAACTCCATATATACAAAGTGAGATCATTAACATCCTGCCACCGTGGTGCCCCCAAGGACAAAATGGATATTGGAGCTACAGAATCCATGCATGCATATGTATATTTATTCCTTGCTATGTTTAAAACATAAAAGTCCGTATTAATAGCATTGCAAGCTGGTATTCGTAGAAATAATGGGGTTTTGTTAAGAATAAAAAAGATGCAATACTGTATACCGGGGAATCTCACCCCTACATTAGTCCAGTATTTAAAAGACAAACTGTACTAAGCGAAACATGCAGATAATTATCGCACGCCAGCACCAGGACGACACGTGGTTAATGCGTCTGCCTGAACACGTAGGAGGAGGCATCATTTAGTCTATAAAATAAACACATTGCAAGGTCCACATTGTAATAAATTCTTATCAAAACTAAAATTTTATTAGAGACTTCCGTATTTAAAACCACAATGTATGTAGCAAGCAGTGACCGCACATACATACACTTAACCAATTATTTTATATTATTGTACAAATATTTCATCCAAATATGAGCATGCTAATTTCACGCAATCAAAGTCCTCTACATATATGCAGAGGGAAAAACGTTGGTATATAATTCGAGTTTGGAAATGTATGCGATAATTAGGTTATCGCTTAAGTACCTTTTTGGTTATCAAGATAAGATCTATTAAATAAACAATGAAATTGAAACAAGTAGCTACAGTCACTGATACATTGTCGTCATATTTACATGTACCCCACTCGGTCGGGCAATTGAGTGGTCTTGAGTTCTCAGCAACTTGAAAGGCACCATCGAAAGAATAAATGGGCCAGAGGAAGACAGCAGAAGCATATGCGACGACAGCAAATGCCGCAAATCCCAACATGATTTTGTCCACGGGAGGGTCAAATCCGTGAATTGGCCATTTGATTATGGCCACAACAATTGCCAAAAGGGACCCGATGAAGCAGAGGCAGTAGACGGCCATGGACCACTCCTTGGCGGGCATCGTGTTGTAGACGTCTTTATCATCGACCACCAAGAAGATGAGGATAGCAATGAAGGCTTCCACGATCTTGAGGATGCCCGGGATGGTGGACATGAAGCCATTCATCTCGTCGGCAGTGTGACGTGCGACTCCCACCTCCGCCGCGTACACAAGCGTCGTCAGGCAGGAGGCCACCGTGGTCCCGATCCTGAAGCCTTTGACTTCGTCGGTGACTTTATTTCCATTGAGGAAAAACACCGGGTACAAGATGGAGACGAGGAGGAGCATGATGCAGCAGCACGTCGAGATGGTGATGGTGAGGTCGCTCCAGGAGAAGGGCAGCTTCTTGTAGAATCTCGATATCTCGACGATTATCACGATCGTGCTCAGGATGAAGCAGATGCACCACACGGCCATGCAGAAGTGTCCGTAGTTGTGCTCGCCCCAGCCCCCCTTGTGGACCAGCAGGCTGAAGGCTGTGCACGTTCCAGCCATCTCCAGAATCCTCAGCACCCACAAGGCTACTTGCGACATTTTGAACGTAAAGAATGTCCAACGCCACGAGACGAGGCCACAGGTGATCCGCTTCGTTTCAGGCGTCGTTGAGGTTTAACTCTGGCGTGATTGAATATGGGAAGTGGAGAAATCGGGGTTTGTGTGCCTTGATTGCGGTATATTGCTATGCACTGATAACGTGTGACAGCGAGATTGGTAGACAAGCAATCGGTGGTGCACCTTGCACCATGTGCGCTGCAATATAAGCAACGTGTTATTTTCGTCTCGGTGGTAAGTCAGCATTCTTCTGTTTGACAAACGTTGATTTGGCAGATGCAGGTTCCCCCCCCCAAGCCTGTGATCCGTGGAACACTTGTGGTTCAGTAAAACCCTGGTAAGTGGTCCGTGTGACTGTGGCAGATTATTAATTTCACAAAACACCATACATTGGTCCGTGAAAGTATTTTGAATGTTCACAGTGGTCGCACTGGTCCAGAAACGTCGGGCACCACCGCATTAGGCCACCATACGGTGTTCTCTAAACCAGTGCTTCTCAACTGTGCGCACCAGGCGTGTAGACGTGACATTTTCGGAATGATAGAAAATAACTTCACCGTTCGCAAACTAGGACAGACGGACCCTCCTCCGTGCCGTTCAGTGGCCGATCCAGCCCCCCATCCTGCCACCTCCCCACCCTCTCAATTGGTGGTGGCGCGGTACGGCAGCAGCAACCGTGAGCCTCCACCCCCCCCCCCCCGGCCCCCTCAACTCCCTGGGTCGCACATGCTAAGTTGGGATTATTTTGGCTCCGTGTTCCGCGAAGATTGCCCAAGCTTGAAAGCGTGCGCTGCTCTGCACCATTTAGCTTGCTGCCTTCATGGAACAGTCCAATGTAGAGAACATCTTGCAATGCACACTCGTTGGATGTCATCCTTTACAGCAGTATTGATTAACCTTTACTGCAGCCTTACACCCCTTTGCTTCTGAATCGTTAAAACATGGAAATGTTGTAAATACGTCGGTTAGATGAAACTAAATATTTGTACTTACGTGCCCGTGCTTAATTTGTATTTCGATCTACCTTTTAAAACATTGTGGTATGTCGCGCACCCCCAGAAAGGGCATCTCGCAACCCACAAAAAGGGGCCGTCCATAAATGACGTCACGCGATTTTTGACGATTTTTGACGCCCCCCCCCCTCGTCACACGGCGTCACAAAAAGTCAGACCCCCCCTCAAATATGATGTCACAAAGCTCTGCCCCCCCCCCCCACACAAAACCATATTTCCATTTTGAAAATTAAACATGCTTCAAATCGCTTTAAACTATTGTCATTGTAGCGCGTATTTAATGTGGCGCTGCACTCTGAAGTTGTAGGAGAAAACATTTATTAAAAAGTCTATTTAATTAAGTAGAACGTGTTGTCTATATCTATTCAAAGTTGTGCATTTTTATGTGACGTCAAACCCCCCCCCTACTCGTCACACATCGTCACAAATGTCTGACCCCCCCCCCCCCCACAGGTATGTAACGTCATTTATGGACGGCCCCAAAGTGCGTGTACCCCAGGTTAAGAACCACAGATCTAAAGTCAGGACATTTTCATTCTAATCAATGTGAAATATTTCCCAATGCCCCTTTTCCTGATGACGACCTGCTTGTGTTGCGATAGAAACGTCGTCGTTTTTTTGTTATTTATTTCAACCTATCTACGTGACTTTATCGAAAGACCCAAAGGACACCACCGCCGTTGTTTATTCTTCATTGTACATTCTTCCTACCACCGCCTTGTCTGGCTCAAGGTCGAAGGGGGTGTACAGTCGAGGTCGAGGGTCGGCCTCGGCAAGGTAAGGTAATTTACTCTTTTTACCGGGTAAAAGGGTAAAGGTGTCGACATGCCAAGGGGTAAGGTAAAGGGTAGGGTAAAGGTAGCTCGGAAGAATTACCCGGTAGGGTAAAAGGAAGCGCGAAGTATTACCCGGTCAACACGGTACCTTGTTTACCGCTAAAAACTCCGTGGCGCAGTCCGTGGCCTCCATTTAATAAGTAATATTTTGAACCTGGGCCATTTCTACTGCAACACAAGAAATCACCATCAGGTGTTGCAGTCGAAACGGCATGAGAATTGTATTGTTTTATATTTTAATCATTTTATTATTTCCCTTCTACGTGACTTTACCGAAAGAACCAAAAATATGAATCCCTGCAGTCACGAAAGCTTTAAATCAAAACCCATACCCAGTTAACTTGGGACGTTGGGACTAATGTTGCCCCAACGATTCCATCCACGTGCATGATGAATGGCTACAAGCACACTCCATCGCCACAGACGTTTTCCTGAGTAAACACACTTAAATGTGGTCGTTGTTGTGGTTAAATGTAGTACGGTCGTTAACATCGCCAGTGGCACCAGTTGGAGGTGAGATGTCCATACATTTGCAAAAGTGGCACAACTGAAATAAACTTGAGAAAAAGTCAACCGTAAAAATGTCAATACTACACGATTATGAAATAAACCTTTATTTAAAAGTGCTCAGAAACACGAACAGTACATTGGTATAGTGACATGAAATACTGTAATTACAATATCTACATGAAATAGAAGAAACGCTGTATTATTTACAAATATTAAGATTGTAAGTGCTGCAAATATAAAGAATTCATTCAATCAACGTGCACCAATTATCACCGTTAAAATAATGCTCCCCAAAAATATTAATTCTCTGCAGCAATGCCAACCAGTGTATAACCCTGAGAAAACATTAACTCTTAAAAGGTGTAAGCAGAACACTCATGGTACAGCATCTCAAACCACAGAAGACACTCAAGAACGTATCACGCATCAATAATACCTCATTCATCTCCGGGTAAGGATAATAATACATGTGCAATCTGTGAAAATCAGACACCGAGAGGTAATTATTGCCGACGTTTTCACATTTTGACGAGAGCAGGTGTAACAGTGACAGATGTTTGGGCATGAGCAGTTTGTTTTATTACTACAGTAAATATAAGCATGAAAGTTCGACGAATTGGGTAACTTCCTCGGTCAACATTTCAATATCACCCTCAGAACTAACACACACTGGGTGTCTGTCAGTTTGACGGTAATGATCTAGTTAAAGAAAACATGGTCTTTATTTATGGAACCAGTCGATGGCTCTACACATACGCAAAATCGAATGAACCATCTCAGCGGGGAAGCTAACAGCCAGGTTTTCTAACAGTCCACGTCCGTTACAAGAATTTCTCCCTTACTATGAAGGGGGAGATTACAAAACGAAATTGGTTAACTTTAAATAAAACGCCACTTTGTGATTACGCTAATGATTACCTGCAAATGACTCAATCGGGATTACACATCGCAATCTTCGCCGCCTACTGGCTTGCACGTAGACGCAGGGTCTCATTTTGCCGCCATAAGGACAGCTGCCAGTGGGGGCGCAATTAGAATGTTTGAGATGAGATACAAGGCGCTTTGAGTTGCCGAGGCATTTATGCAACGTCATACGAATTCAAAAAACAAATCTTATTATCATTACCCGCGTCTTTAAAGTGTCTGCAATGTCACGTCCAAAATAATGGAACTCACAGTGCTTGACACACAATAAAAAGGGTGGTCAGCTCAATTCTCAGTTGAGGGTTGATTTAATCTGTCATCCCAACAGAATGGATAACATGTACCATTTTGTACAAAGTCAACATCCGTCATGGTTCTCCGATTGATTTCCAGGTCGTACGCGCGTTCGGCACAATATATCCGACGTTTGAGAGATCGTAGGCTGCTCAGTAACGCTTCCTGAAGAAGCTCGCAGCACGTGGAGCGAAACGTCGGACGTCGTTCCGAACAACACGCGGTACGACCCCGAAAACACATCGCAGAGCCACGCAGCACAAACCATAAAAACTAAAGAGCAGTAACAGTAGTCATCGAAGGAATGCGGAATTTGAACCACTGGTTCAGGGCCACCACCAAAGTTGAGCACTGCCCCACCAAGTTAATTTGAGCCGAGATGCGATTGGACCCGACAGGTAGAAATAAGACAGGCGCTCGGCTTTCGCTAAGCTGTGCAACGCGGTAAAAAAGGCTCAACACACTGATTTGCAATGGGCGGGGGGGGGTGGTCTCTGATCCGTTATCAATCCATCGCGCGTGTCTTGCACTAAACGAAATGTGGCTCACTGTGCGGAATTGTTTCACGTGTGGCCAGCAGCCCAACCAACAGTATAAGGACTAACGCCGCCCCGACTCTCGTTCAATGAAAAGTTAAGTTTGAAGATGTCACGCCTTAAAACAGGAAAAATATCTCTGATAACTCATTGATCCTTGCATGGACTTCCTCGCCTAGACCGTTAAATAGAAACACATACAACTAGAACACAAATAAGATGGATTGTGAAACAAAAATGGATTTAAAACAAATCTTTCCACCTAATCACCTATTAAAGAGTATATCATTGGTTACTGGGATTAAATGGGTATATTTATGTAAAACTTCAGAAATATTATGAACGCAAGGGGTCGATATATACACAATAAATAAACAAATCACGTGTTCTTTTGATAACCTGTTTTCAAATAGCTGATGTTTGCCTCCAATAGTGTATGTTGCACGGCGTTTGTATATACGCACAGATACACGTACCGCGTGCACAGGTACACGTACCGCATGCACAGGTACACGTACCGCATACACAGCGTACTTTTTTACAGCGCCTCTGCCAGTCCACTGCTAGATGACGGCCTCCCCATGCCGTGTCGGTCTTGGGGATCATTGGACCACGCGCTGCAGCACACTGGCTGGAGTGGACTGGTGAAGAGGGACGCCCAGGACCCGTTCAAGATATCACTCTCCCGCTGATGATGGTCGCGATTGGAAATCGCACGCGGGTCCGCCGCCGGGTCGACAGCGCAGCGCGCGCTGACCGCAGCGCCACTTGCTCCACCCCCCCCGACGGCGCATTTACGTGTGAACGAGGCCCAGTAAAAAAAGAGTTTGCAGACTTTACGGCCTTCGAAGAGAAGATCTCAATTGAATGTGCTTTGTATTAAGTTTCACGTAAAATGTAACGCGCAAAAGATTGCGCAAGCGAAATATGGCACCGCTCGGCGGAGAGACGCTGTAGCCGAAGGGGTGGGTGGAGACATTGCATTGTAAACAGAGGCGGAATTATGAAGCTATGTCCATCCTCAACGAGGCTGCAGCACGTTCTATCTCGACAGCTGCAGCTGCTCCACACAGTACATCCCCACCTCCAATCGCTGCTCCCTAACTCCTTTCATGCCCCCAACCGCAGCAGTTTTCCCCCCAGGTTATAAAATAGCAGTGCCACCCACCGCACACCCACATGCTAGATCTGTCCATAAACACTCCCAGTATGTAACCATGTGCATATGTCAACCACAATAAATTAAATTACACAAAGAACACAATTCTGCGTGTGTGTATAAAAATAAAATATTTTAAACATAATTTTTACGTGGTCAATCAAACGAGTACAACTTTGACAGAAGTCGACAATGGTTGCCTAGTGGTTGTGGCCGTGGGCTGGAATTGAACTCGGGCCGCCGGGTTTTGTAACGCACACACACACACGTGGGCACAGCACTCCAAATAAAACCAGACGTTTTATTTTGCTGATGTCACTCCACCCTCTCAACTTTCCCAATGACTTTGCCTTCGTAACTTGGCAAAACGGCGTTGTCGTCTCTTACTTCCTCGAACACAAACCCACAGTCGAACTCGCCGCTGGCTCTCCTGAAATAATACCTGCAGGCAACACAAGGGGGCACTTGAACCAACAGCAACCTGTTCATTCGGTACTGCCTCGGCGATTAGTTTCAGCATTCAAACTGCCGCTCAGCAGATTTGAGATTTGTTAACTGAACACTTATCCGATCATCATTACTATAACCTAGGCCAAACAATTAATTATTGAGCATTGACATTTCTTGCACTAGGAGTTTTTGTATCTATTGGAGATTAGCCTTGATGAGAACAACACGAGGAATATCAGCAGAGGACAGGTTCACGTGAATCATAAACACATTGGCCCAGTATTTGGATCCCTCAGATGGTTACCAATCATGCCCCAGATCAAATACAAGGTAACCTTCACCATCGTGGACATTTTGCCTATCTCTCACCCTGCTCTACTCCCCCTTCATGTGCTCTCCTCTGAGGCACCGCGGTGGCAAGATGTCAACATCTCGCCTAGTATACAGCAGGCCGTGGGTTCAATCACAACCCTGTTGCCTCTATATTTGTAGTTTGCACGTTTTCTCTCTCTCTCTCCCCATGGTCGCGTGGATTTGTCTCAGGGTCCTCCGGGTTTTCCCTCCACATTTAGAATCAACACGCATGAAGAGTATTTGGCAGCGACTATAAATATCCACATGATAAGCCACTTCATTGGGCTATCAAGTGTGGCCAGGTCACTTCTGAAAAAGAGCTTTATAGCTCAGTGGGCTAGACAGTTTAGTATTATTTTAACAACCAAAGCCTTCTGTTAAACCCACCGGACAACCTCCGTTTAGTGTCCGGTTGCTCCTTCACTGCGGTCCTTGTTTTCTGGAGTTTCCTCCCTCTGGCCACCTGCGCTGCTGCTGAGACCATTTCCTTTTTCAAGTCCAGGACCAATCACACAGTCTCTCTCTCTCTCTCCCTGGGTTGTTTTTATTCACACCTTTACCATTTCCCACTATGCCCTGCAGCCCCTTTTCCAGAGCGAAACGTCGGACATCGTGCTGAACAACCTGCAGTACAGGCCGCAAACACATGGGGGAGAGCTGCACACCACAGCTACGAAACCTACGCAGAGGCAGACTTTCCTTTTGTTGTTACGTTGAATTAACCTGTGAAACGTTATCAAACGTCAGACACAAAGACCTTCCCCCTGAACCGTTCAGGTTTGCGCGTTCATCAAAGGCTCATCTCTCGTTTAATTGCGGGTGCGTCTGCATGGACGGTACCTGTAGGTGCCCTTTTTGCCGAGCATCTCCTTGAAGTGGGCCAGCGTTAGAGCTCTCTCCGTCACCGACGTGCGATACGGGATGGGCTCGCCGCAGAAATAGTAAGCCACCGCGGTGCCCTGTGGAGGCGACCGGCTGGACAGCGGCCTTTTTGCCTTGCACCTGAAACGATCGCAAACGACAGCGCAATCGGGCCTTTGAGAACGATTTCGAAAACAGGAGGAGCAGTGAGCCACGGGCACTAGGCATCCAATGATTCACCTCCCACCCACGGTGGCGAGATGTTAATTCCTTCGCCTGGTATGCAAGAGGTCGTGGGTTCGATCCTGACCCTGACGCCTTAATATTTGGAGTTTGCATGTCCTCTCCAGGGCCTTCGGTTTTCCCCTCCACATTTAGAATCAACATGCATTTAGAGTATTTGGTTACTATAAATTTCCACATGATCAGCCACTTCGTTGCGATATAATGTGGTTGCTTTTGAAAATTAGCGATATAGCTCAGTGGGCCTTACCTGGTGAACTAAAAAGTTTAGTTTCGTGTAGTTGGATTCGATTGTCATAATTCGGGGCCACAATGATATTCAATACAGGACACCCCTTATCCGTCGTCCTAATAGTCGCAGCAGCTTTCGGGTCCGACTAACAACCTGTAATTCACAGCCCTATTCCTCCTATTATTCGCGATTATCTAACATTTTTCACACAAGTCTTTGCGGAACAGCATCCTATATTATCTGTGATTTTTTTCGTGGACAAGAGGAGCTGTTCAATCCATGTATATCTTCTTCAATCGGGGTTATTGTATTATGTTGAACTTCTTTCGCAAAGTATGTAGCCAACCGTGCTAATTGGAGGGGCGGGAGAAGCACAACAAACTAAACACAAAAAACAGTTCCAAAGTTCACGGATCCTATATTCCGCGGATGATTCCGCAGATAATAGGATCCATGAAATGGAACACCAAAATTACTGTGGACAACAGGAGTTCTGTGCTGGATTTTTTTGTTTTATTATGCGGAAGGTAGCACTTCCAGTGGCTACATGGGTCACGAGAGGTTACTGCATATGACTTACGAATTTAGTATAATTCTCCTGCGTACAATTCCATTGTATGTAATACGGGCATAAAAATCCATATGAATGGACGAATCTTTACATGATTAATGGGACCCATGTCGCACAGCGCTACGAACCCCGCGTGAACCGAGATCGATTCTAGGACAAGGCTAACATTGGTGGCGAGTCGAATCTGAACCGGTCCCTCACCAAACCCACACTGCCCAGCGTGGTAAAGTATGGTCATTCTGAAAATTATGTTGTTTTTGCCATACAGACGGACCCACATCATTGAGAATAACAGCAGCTCTCGGTTTCAACGGGCACGTGGCTCTCCGAGCACTGCATCCGACTCACGCGTGTGAGGCTTTGGGGTTCCTGCCCGACTCCCTCTTGCCGCCGAGCTGTGGGAGCCAGACGTGCGCGCGATCCAGGTCGGACTCCAGGGGCAGGCAGGATGCCGCTGCCGCTTCTGCCGCCGCCGTCTCCGCGGAGGCCCCGCCGCTTTCCTCGTCCTCGCGAGACGTGTTCTCCAGCGGCGTCCTGGTGAACCAGCCCTGCGTCGCGTCTCTGCAAAGATAAAGGTGCAACCCAGCAATTACTTTCCCATTCCACTGCTGGTGGAAGAGCCTCCACGAGAGAAAGCTCTCAAGAGCCCATTTTAAGAGTTAAATTCAGTCTTAGAAGAGGTGGGAGAGACTCACACTCTACCCTTCTCTCTCTCTCTCTGTGCTTGCCAATGGACTAACTGTGGTGCATATATTCATGCCACTTGGTGGTCACATCGAACAGGTGATCTCTGGATTGCAAGTCCGGCGTGCTGACCATTACAGCACTGTGGCAGAATCCCAGACACAACCTCGACATTAAAAATTAACATCTGAGGTGACTGGGTGGTGCAAGTGTCAAACACAATGAGCCAACACTCTGAATCTAGGTTTTAGCCACTCACCCATGATTAAATTGGGTTCTCAAGTGTAGCGAGGAGTTTATCATCTCAGCCTGGTGAGCGATGACTTCACGCAAAAAAACTATACATTTGGTTCCTCACTGAAATTGGCAAAACCATCCAACGCTTGAGACTTCCTATAGAAGGACACATGGGGAACTGTAACGCCTCCAGTGCGGAGAAAAGTTCGCTTGAAGAGATCTCAGAAGTAGTTGAGAGATATTCCTTTCCATGGGCCGAACTCTAATCACGAGCTGAAGCGCTGTTCTGCGAGCATTCTAAATAGACACTTTGTCTCGAGATGTGACATGAGTAGTAATCAAATTGTGGAAGAAAAAATATATTTCCTTATTAGGAACCAGCAGCAGAGCAGATTCATACAGCATATACACCCACTCGCATCTCCAGGCCTTGACCGGAGCAACACACAGCATCTTAGAGCTCTGAAGAGACACCGTCTCATCATACGACACTGGTAGCACTACTGCAATAACTTAGCATTTCCCCCCAAATGATATAATATCATCGCTTTCAAAGAGTGAAACATTGTAGACTTCGCTCCTTCCATGAAGGAATCGCAAAACTACACAAACTCTCCCCTGAAGCCCTCTCATGGCTAGCGATCCTCAACATTGGCATTTAGCTACTGAACAAGTTGCCATATGGAAGAGAATCATCTCTTTCTAAACACGGTTGATAGATTCGTTTTTCTGTCTGTAACAGTGAGGTAACTAAAACTATCACGAAGATGATCCAATTTGAATCAACCTGTAGTAAAAGTTCCGTCGCCATTAAGGCCCAGCTCTCTTGAAAACAGGCCAAATAGATCTAAGGGTCACCTAAAATTCGGGATGACCAAGCTATAGTAAAAAAAGTGCTATTTTCAAAGATGCAAATGTATTTTGCCCTGACAGCTACCCGTCGGCTTCTGTGGTGCGAATTGAATACTTCCGAAGACAAATGCAATTGAGAAAGCGAAAACGTAGTCCGTACGTCGGCCCAACTAGCGCACCTGCACCGCAGGCGCTCAGCCAGCTCGTCCGGCAGGCCCACGCTGTCCATGCCCGTGCGGGGATCGCTCACGACCCGGCAGGCGTCACCCCCGGCCTCGTACCGCACTCGCCTCGCGGCCTCCATCTCCATCTCCTGCAGGGACCGCCCGCTGCGGCCTCCTCCGCCGCCACCGTGGTGGTGGTGATGATGATGATGGTGGTGATGGTGGTGGTGCATGTGCTGCGAGACCTGCCTGTAGTGGAATGAGTGCACTGTGCTGACGCTAAGAGACGACTGTATGCGGGGAAGGGAGCGTGCAGTGGGGGACTCAGGGAGGGTCTGGTTTGTGGGGGGCCCTGCTTGAGCCACGTTATTACGAGCACCCCGGGGCCGCTCAGAGCCACCGCCGGCGTGAGGCAGTTGGCACACCAGCGTTCGCGTCACGTGCCCGTCGAGAACGCTCTCGGTGCACTCGTCGTCGCCGTCGTCGTCTTGCGGAACGTTTTGCGGAAGCGTCGTCCTGCCATCGGAGTGGGCGGAGGTTCCTCGGGAGGAATTCGTGGGTCGGGAAGAGCTTGCAAGGTGGCGAGCCATGTCCATGGGGCTTCCTGTTCCATCCGCCCACTCGCCTTCCTGCAGCAGCACAGAACAGGTGAACAGGCTTAAGCTGGAAATTCTTAACCCACGAATAACATCAACGAGCAAGGCACACGGCACTCGGTGGCGCATAGTGAATGGGAGTGGAACCTGAAATTGATAGCACTGGGTGTGAGTGGTACGAGCATGTCCAAGTTATGCCAGCGTGGGGTCGTCACCATACGGGTGATGTTCCACTGGCTATTTGCCAAGTTGAGACTGAAGCAAAACGTGGAAATCTGGCCTCACTTTACATCTGAATCTGGCTCTCTGTGCCAAACAGGGCCACGAGGCTGAGTTAATTATTTTCGCCCTTCGAAAAACAATTAGCGGCACGGCTCTGGTTCTGCAAAGGAAAAACAAACTGGGACCCCCTGAGCTGCGGCCACATTGTTACTCGACTGTGCAGTGGAAAAGAAGTAGGAGTTAATTTGAGTGGAATTTCACGACCAATGCTGCAGCTTATAGAGCGTGCATCTGGTTCCAACTGCATTCGGGCCCACGGGTTGGAGAGGCAAAAATGGACAACGGGTCCCAGTTTCATTTCTTGGACTGGGGCCCATGCCAGCCATGTTACGCAGCTAACGGTGATGGACGCTGGGTGCTACTGGGTGGTTTTGGGTGGTTCTGGGTGGTTCTGGGTGGTGGTGGTGCTGAATAATGGTGGTGCTGGCTGGCGCTGAGTGAAGCTAGACACTGGGTCGCATTGATTGCTGGGTGGCACGTGGATACTCACTGCCTGCTGCTCCTCCAGGCCCCATTGGAGCCTCCGATCCCTCTGTAGGCGCTCCAGCCGAGCGGTCAGCTCCGCAGCAAACCTCGCCGGGTTCATCACGGCGTCCTTCATCACCTGCCGGGCCCTCTGGGCAAAGTGGTGTCATCACCTCGGTTACAGCAGTTCGTGTTTGTAATGGGTCCAGATATGACATCATTATCATTTTATCTCCACACCGCACCACCCACGCAGCACATCCCGAGATACTGTGAAGTAGTGGACTCCCTCTAGCAGCTGTCCCACAAAGACAACGATCCCCCATGTAGCCTTTAACAGACTGTTGGGGCAAGTTCTCTAAGCCAGCACCTATGTAGGCCACCACGGCACCCGAGTGGATAGCAAACACCACGCCTGGCCACCTTTGTCTCCCCAGTGCTGATGTTTACACACTGCACCAAGTACACATTTAAGGCCGAGTAGACCTCGAAGAGGCTCTGGATCAGTTCATAGTGCAGTGCGCTAACCACTGAACTACCACTCGCCACTCACAAACCTCACACCCACACACAAGCATGCACACACTGTTTAGTGCACGTGTATGTCTTGCACAAAAACATTCTACTCCCAATGTTGCAACACCGTGACCCGTTACGATCGTCTCTGGTTAAGAGATCAAAGGGTGGCCTCTAACCTGCAATAGTCACTTAAAATGCCGTCAAAGCGCCTGCCATAACTCTGCAGGCCTTCTCAGGCTGTTGGAAAGGTGCTCTGTCGTTTACAACACTGCTCGACTGCACAGTAGAGGCTGCTTTAGGGACTGCTTTATCACACACGGCTGGGATCGCAAAACGCTTTAGCGGCAAGTAGAGACAAACTTAAAAGGTGCACATTCAGACGGGGGATCTACGGCAAGTCTGCCGTGTGCCATGGCGCAAACGTCGCATTGTTCAGGCGACCACGTTCGTCATTTACGCGGCACTTTGCTCACTTCAAAGTGGGAAAACTGAATATTGCAATTTTACTTTAGGAATGTGGTGGAGTCTTTATTTCACGCTACGAAGGTGTACCTTTGTTGGAGGACGTGTTATGTACAAAGGCAATGATTTAATAGCTTTACAGAGGAATTATTGGGTGAGGAGTTGAACATTAAAATTGACCACCTTTGAAGCTTGTAATGGACGTGGACATGAGGAATGCTACAAGTAGCTCGGTATAATGTGTCAGAGCCGTGAGCTGATACTGCTGAGATCCTGGGTTGAAATCTGGGGTTTGTGTTGCTCGTGATGAAACCGGGTCTCTCAAATGCATTTTAATGTGAAGTTATTTTTGTATATTTTTGTTTTATCGGTTTAATCGTGCATTTTTTTTCCCACCCAATGTTATCCCGATTGTGCTATGAACAGAATATCATGAGACAGAGAATTAATTCGGATCTGTCGCAGATCAGTGCAACCCGTTGTGTAAGACAATGCCCCACAGAAGTGGATTTTATAGAGCTGCCTCTGAAATGCCTTTAAGTGACCTATGGTCCACAGAGGAGATGGCAGCACATTGCTACCCACTGTGTGCTACAGTGGGTCATGTTCGTTGCATGAAATTCAAACCAATATTTTTAACTATCGGAGCAGGAACTTAGAAAAATCAAGTACAAAACCAAACTTAGTGTCAAAGTAACCAGGCTGAGCCAATCAGCTCACTACACGTGGGGACCCATGTTTAATCACGGGTGGCTGCCTGGATTTTAACCTCGAATCTCAGTGAGCGGTGCAGATCCTCTGAAGACCACGTCAAGCGGCCCTGCTTTGAAATTTGATTTTAGGATGTGACTCACTTTCATTCTTTCCTCCATGTGGCTGCTGCTGCTGCTACCGCTGCTGCACCAAGCCTGCTTCTGTCCACACTTTAATTGGTCTGGATCGATCATTTTTCTGCTGATAATTTGGAAAAAGAAAGTTAACGTTTTAATTTCTCTATTACAAAAGCCAATGTTGTGGTCATTTGTGTTCATAAATGGTGAAGGTTATTGGTGGCGGTAAATTGATTCGGTAAGCAGTTATGATCAGAGCTGTGGTGAATTACAGTTGCAATTACTGGAGCATCATTATCTGAAATTACAATTGCAAATATGTTGTGATTGCAATTCAGGGCAAATGACTAAATAACTAAATGAATTGCCTCTTGGGTCGGGTAATAATGAAACATGAAGTAAAATAGGATGTTAAATTTTGATGTTATATATAAGTAAATTATTTTGACGGGGTTTTCCAAAACTCCACTCTTCAGGACCCACGACGATACACCTTTCCGAGTTTACCGATTTACCGCCATTCAAATACAAATCAACTTATAACATATTCTTGGTTCTTTCGGTAAAGGTAAAGTCACGTAGAAGGGAAACAATTAAATAATACGTTTCGACTGCAACACAAGCAATCATCATCAGATGTGAAAACCACAGCAAGAAAATTTGAAAAAAGTGGCGTTTTTTTTTAACGTTAGCACCACTTATAACATGCTGAATGTGCCCCATGATTGCGAAACATTGTCCCGCGTGCTGTCGAGACAGCCCTGGTTCACGCGTGTGTACGTGAGTGAGAGGCGTTGTGTGGGGAGCAGCAGTGTAGCGATTAGCGCACTGCGCTACGAACCCATCGACCCGAGTTTGATTCGCACTCACGGCCAACACCAGTGACAATTATCTGAATGGGTCCTAGGCCTCCACTAGGTCGACTCAGCCTAACATCAATACTTAGTACGCTGTGTAAACATCACCACTATGGAGACAAAGGCGGCCGGGCGTGGTGCTGGCCAGCCACCCACTCGTGTACCGTGTCAGCCTTCATAGGTGCTCGCGAAGAGCACTTGCCCCAACGGCCTATTAAGGCTATATGGGGGATATTTGTCGTTGGTGTTCAGTAATCATTATGCAGCATAGGTAACGGTAATTGTGGGGGATGCTGCCATGGTGTAATTTAGCAATCATCAGGCACGTGCAGCATGGAATAACTACATTTGTACTTGAACCGAGATAAACAGGTAAACTCAGATTGACCTACCAGTTGGATCTACCATGGTGGCTTGTGAGGAATGGAGTCTGGGAAACCCGGTGCCAAGGTAAACGTTTGTCAAATGGTGCCGGTAATTACTAAAGCCTTCCGTTAAAAATGAAGACGGCAAAATTAGCAACGTCAAACGGCGACGTGAATAACAACGGCGGATGGCCGTGAACCGGCGACGCAACACAGAAGCAGAAGCAGTGGCAGAACGCACGTGAGGCTTTTGGGCTCCGAATCCCCTGGACGCCCACTCGTCCACCTCGGCCAGCTCGTCCCGCTGCTCGCCTCGCTCGTCCTGCCGACTTCACTGCTCTCGTTCGCGTCGTCGCTCGGTCCGGCCGCGTCGCTCCCGCCGCTCGTTCCCAGCGCCGCGGGATCGACTCCCTCCCGCCACTCCGCCAGGCTTGGTGGGTCCCGCGGGAGCACCCACGCACTGCAGGCCCGCGATCACAGCACAGCGCTTCCATTACGAATCCGCCGCGCCACGTAACCGAGAAGACACCAAAGGCCGTGGAATTGTTGTTTGAAATGTATTCTCGTGCCCGACAAATATATTCTCACGCTCATAGAGGCATGCATCGCGGTAAATGGAAATGAGTCCGACCAAATTACCCAACAGACTGTGCCCCATCTCATCAGACCTTTTAACCAAAATAGGTATTTTGCTGATCTCGTCAAGAAGCAAAAACCATCACACAAATCCGGTCATCCTCGCAGTGGCTTTTGGCTAACCATCGAACAAAGACGGTCATTACATGGGTGTGCTTTCAGATGCGCTTCTGCGCCCGTCTGGAAGGCTCTTCCTTCCGATATTAGGAAGCCACTTGAGCCATGTACTTTCAAATCTAGATTGAAAACTCATTTCTTTAGAACTGCTTTTTGTATTTAGTTTGTGGTCCTTCCCCCGCACCTCCGATCAGCATGGTGCGAAAGGTCAACATACAAACAAACATCTTGGAAGCTAAACAGCTTGTCGTCACAGGCTGTTATGGGTAGCAGAGGTGAATGTGGCAGTCAATTTTTGCAATGCAATTACGCTCTCACGTCCATGCTCCCCTCCTTGACCAACCCGCGCAGACCGGCGTGTTGAAGTGCGGTAAAACAACCCCCACGGCCTGGGAAGGCCCTCATCCAGCAGTGAATTGATAAAAGGATGCAATGTGCAAATGTAATAATGAGGCTAACAAAACTGTACGGAAAATAAAATTAACTAACACAAAGGACATGGTGACAACAAGACAAAAAGAATCGGTAATTGAATCAATTCTCAACCCTAAATTATGAAAATTCATCGAATTGTCATGGATGTCTCCCCACATCGTGTTGATCATGAGTTTTGTTTGACCATACTTTGCCATTGATGCTTGCCATGACCGCGAATTGAACCCGGGCAGCTGGGTTTGTGGCACGGTAAGTCAACCACTACATTGCAAATATAAAGTAAAATAAAAAAACAGATGCAAGTGGCCAGCTGAAGAGATAACTCAGCGTCTTGCAATTGGAAAGTTTGGAGTCCAAATCCTGGTTGGGGGTTGACTCGGGTCATCATCTTCCCAGGGTTGATTAATATGTATCGCTTTGTGGGAAAAAAGTAAACACGGTGGTTATCTCATGGTTAGGCTCAACCCTGCCATAGGAATGTGGACTTTCTGCCACTGGATAAGGGCTGTAAACAAGAGGATGAACACGACCTCGATGCTCAATTCAGCATGAAATCACTTTTGACTGACTTTTCTTTTTGAGTGGCCAGCTGTGCACACTGGCCAGGAATCCCTTGTGTGGGATTCTCAGAACTGCCCCAGGTCTTAACAAACCCAGGCCAGGGGGAGCTCAACACGACGTCTCAATTTGCTCAATAGCACCAGCACGGCCAACGTAGCACTCGAGTGCTTCAAACATTAACAGCAGCTGGGAAAACACTCGACTGTAGCATAAATGTAGATAATGGGTAAAATGTGGCATCCTTTGAAGTGGCTCGGTGGTCTAAAGCTGCAGGATCAAAAAGCACCCCCACCAACCCCCCACACCCCACCCAACCCCCTCACACCCTCCAACCCCCGCACACCCCCTTTTCATGCTCGGTGGCTTGAAACGGAGATTAAGGAGGCATGGGCCCGTTTGTCAAGCCAGTCCATTTTCACCGTTTCCCATATCTGCTCGAGTCCTGATTGTTCTGTTGCGTGAACTTAATCTTACCGCATTATATAAAGTTCTCGCTATGCCCTCGTCTCCTGAATCATTCCCTCTCATCTCCAAAACTCTTCCGCGTTCGTGATCAATCTCCCATTCTCCTATGAAATTTCACACATCGTGGTCAGAGTGATTGACTCGCGGTCAAGATGGTCGTGAATTAAAATCCTGGCTGGAGGTCAACTTTGCCTGTCATATCTTCGGCATCAATAAAATAATAGGCTCCCCCAGCGATTCAATTATCACAATTCTGGACCATGACTTGATTCACAAATCGATGTTTCCTTTTACTTGTAGGACACTCTAGATCCCTCTCTCGTGGCTGCAGGGATCACGTGACCTAATTTAATACAACAATACCAATGTCTTAATCAGCCATGCCGGACGAAGGCCTTCCCATGTTGTTGCCATCCCTCACGGCCCTACGATGCCACAATATATTTCACACTCCTGCGCATTAACTGATCCCAATGTTCCACCTCCATCATGGCTCGGCGTCGTGTGCATTCTCTCCTGGGGTTGCCACTTCCATCAGCAGTCTCATCCATCTGCCATCGTCCGATCCCAACGACGCCTCCTTGCCGAAGCCTGCTCACCATTTCTTAACAGTAAACATTACGTCTACAATGTGCGTTTATATTCTCTGAGGCATGCGTTAGTCTTTCCATCTCTTGGTGTAACTCTTGAGCATGCATATGTTCATCCTTTTATTGGTACTTGTTTAGTTTTTGTTCCGTTCCTTATCAGATTCATGCCAGGTAATGTGCCCCGATTTAAAACAACACAAACAAATATTTTGTATGTGATGACTGTTCAGTTATCGTGAGCACCAAAATGTTTTTACTGCATGGTGTTGAACTCCTGTACAATAAGTACCACTCAGTGGGATGTGAACAGCGGTCATCCTATGTGAAAGACTGGCACACACCATGGGGACTTTATATTTCTACCCCTTAGCAACTTTCTGTATCCAAATTGTACTGTGCCTGACAATTTAGTCTATCAATCATGCCACTGTTAAGCTGTTCTGTGCATTCGATGTATCCCAGGTCTCTCCCACAATGTGTCGTCTGTGTCCCATTGGGTTCTCCCAAGGTTATGAAGTGTTGTAATTCTTACTAACATTATTATCACATGCCTGCACTGTCATGCTGGCGATCACAATGGTGCGTGCTAGAGGGCTGTGGACAATGTAGCTTCTCAAGAGTTTTTTTGTAAAAATATTTAAATAACTCACGTTAGCATTTGGAGAGAAATACATACATACTACAATAACGAGAATTAATTTGCAACCTTTTGTCAATCGACGGCTGGATGAAAGGCTTCCCCGTGCTTTTCAGTCACGGAGGTTGTCGACCGTACTTCACCACGTTGGTTGGTGAAGAAGGGGACCACAGATCGGTGAAGACGTCACTCGGCATTGATGTTAGTTAGCCAGGGCTGGGAATCCAACTCGCAAGGGAGGTGTTCACAGCACAGAGCACCAACCACTGTGTCACCCCCTCCACCACAGCACTTCAATGATACTGTCTTTTATTAACCGGCTGAGGTGACTCAGCAGTCAGGTGCACGGCTTGCACGCGGAAGTTCAAGAATTCAAATCCCAGCCGGGGTTTCGCTCAGCCCTTCGCAGCCCTTCGAGGCCAAGAACACAAGAACTACCCCATCCATAACAATGTGGAATTTCCACCACTGGCTCAGGGCTGTATAGAGGAGATGAGTGCATTTTCTCAATTTGCGTGCGAAACCAACTTTCCTCTGTTTGATGCTGCAATTTAAGTATCCAAGCAGAACGTAGCCGCGTGTTGCTGTACCTAGAGGGGCTTAACTCGAAAATGAAACGGTGGCTGCTCTACAGATAGGCTGGGACCCGCGATAGCAACGTTAGACATCCATTTCTAGTTCCAGGGCTGTCAATGGTGATTGGCACCCGCCCCAAATTCACTTAGGCAGGGCAGATCTTGCCTCACCGATTCTCAAGATTATTTTCTCGGAGGGCACCGCATTGGGATGCTTGCCGAACTAATTTTTGTCCTCCGAGTATTTTGCGAGAAGACCGACGCACGCGAGAAGGCCGATTGCGATCGTCACAGTTGTGGTCAGGAACCCACTTGCCGTACTGCCACCTTCGAGCCAACTCACACAGCCCATCAGCACACGAGGATGTCTCTCTCTCTCTCTCGCTGCGCGATCCACCCACTTCTCCACCCGGAGCGCAGGCGTGTGCGCCACCACGCCACGACACTTTCATTGCGGCACGCCGATGTGGCGTAGTTCATCGTGCCGCAGCAATAAAGAACAAAGGGTTTGATCTTTACAATGGCGTTAACAGCGGCCATGCAACATATGCTCCTCTCGTAATAAAGTTGCTTTTGGCAAGACTTCAGAAAGTTCGCTCCTTCGCTGTACGAGCTCCCGAGTTCAAAGGCTTGGGGCACAAGTTCTTGGGTTCAGCAGCCAAAACAGGAATACAACGATTCTGTATCACTATTTGTTTGTTTCCTTGCATGCGCTGCGTTATTTCCTACAGACTACAAGGGCCACAGGGGGGGGGGGGGGGGGGGGGGGGTTATCTCGCTCCGGGAATCAGTAGCTTTCAAGCCATGTGCTGCAACTTATATTTTCATACAGTTTTAGATACATAACAGTTTGAATCTTCAACCTAAAGAGAGGTGGTGGGGGGAGGGGGTCCTGGCTAGGATTGCAGGATAATTTATTGATGAAATTGCAAGATTCAGGGACACGTGTAAGGGTTTTAAAAAATAGGCCTTCAGTTTTGTGTGCGGTGTGTTTTTGTTTAATGCACAGTACATACAAATTCCTGTCGAGGGGCTTCCGAGAGCTCCCTCTATTGGAGGTCCTTCCGCCAGCAGTGGTTAGCGAGCAATTGCAGGCCTGCACTTTCATACCACATAGAGGAATTAAATATTTTAGTTATATGCACTAAATTAATCAACGTAAAAAAATGAAAATTTTCATGCCTTTGAAGGCAAAATTTTTACAATGTTAATACAGGTAACGTCAATAAATTATTTTGGTCCAAGCGCTTAAGCATTCAAAAATCTTTGTCAAGAGTCCGTGTAACCCATCATCCCTTGCTACCCATGCATGTTTTACTATGGGCAGCACGTAATGACTTACCGACCATACCACTGGTTTGTGTTTTTTTGTATAAACGTTTAATGGCTATTTGAATTACATAATTAACATTTTATTTGGCAGTTGAGGCTTATGCTTTCTAATTGAGCCAAGGCGCATTCTGCACCAATGTCAGTGTTTGGGCAGGTGGACTCTAGTGACTGCACTGCATTAAATGAGCGAAACACGGTCAATGCATCCGTCTGCCATTTTGGTCGGTTAACCCCGAATACCTAGATCGATGGTTGTCATCCACACATACATTATTAACACGGTCTACTCAGAAAACGTTTGACTATTTCTGTTCACCTGAACCTGACAGCTTGTCGGCAAATCTTCGTCACTCCGTGCCCTTGGCTTGGCAGTGACACCACGGTGATGTCACTGCCACTTGGTGAAAAAGATTCTGCGCGTGGCGAGCTCTTACCTTCTCCCAGCCTCGTCGTGTGCCGACTTCTCCCCGTCTCTCCTCTGCTCCGCTTCCGTCACTGCTGCCGCCGCAAGCCGTTGCTCGAACGTCACGGCTTTGCCGGACGCTTGGAAGGATGCGCAGACCCCGCGCTCCCGTCCCTCCTCCCCGCCGTAGCAGCCCCCTCGAGGCCCCAGGACCAGCGCCTCGGCCCCGGGCCCCGGGCTGTTCCCGCCTGAGCGCGCGTACTCCGCCAGGACGTCGGACTTGAGAAAGGCCACGTAGGCTCCGGCCTCCAGCGCCGCGTGCACCTCCCCCTGCGCCTCGTCAAGCAGGGACAGCTCTGCCCGGCCGCTCTCCACGCCCCGGCGCACACGGGCCCGCGTGCCCGGCGATAGCAGCTGGGACACGGTGCCACGCCCGTCGCCGCCCTCAGCCAGGTACCTTCGGTGAATGGCACGCGCCAGCCCGAGCCGCCGGCCGCCGTCGGCGAGGCCTAGTCTGCGGTAGCCGGCGCAGGCGAACCAGAAGTCGAGCATGTCCTCGGAGCTGTCGCTTGCCAGGAAGGCGCGGAAGAGGCTGGCGCCGTCGCAGTCCTCCAGCAGTGTCTGCAGAGACTCTCCCCACAGCGGGCACGGCACCGGCGGCGACGCGCTGCCCTCTGGCTCGTTCGACCGGCGTGCCGATGTGGGGCTCCCCGGAGACGGTGACGATTGCGCCAGCAGCACCGTCTGAATTGGCTTATGGACACTTTGCTGCACTGCCGCCACTGCTGTTCTTGCTGTGCATCGATATTTGGCTCCTTTCCCTTCTTCCCCTGGCACCGGCGGTCTGAGCGTATCCTCCGTGAAGAATGAGCTGGCGTCCGCGTGGAGCATCGCGGCGCAAGCAGCGAGCATGCGTGCACGCGCTCGAAGCTCTACGTGGTCAACGGCAACAAGAATAATAACTTGAATTAAAATGGAATAGAGCTTAAATGCAAAACGGTAACATCCATTCCCAAGAAAACGTGGAAATGTAGTCGACAAAACCATATAGAGGGGATCTCTGGAGCTCCATTTCCCCTGTTGCCGGGCTGTACCTTTACCATCAACGAAACAATAAACAACTCACTCAAATGGGCGATTTTACCAACCACCAACACCACCATCATCGCAGAAGGGTGATGACGATAGTGGTTTCGGTAATGATACTACTGGCAGTGGTGGTGATTATGATGCTGATGGTCGAGCAGATGATGCTGATGGTAGGGACACTGATGCTGGGGTAATGATGTTGATGGTGTTTATGTGGTGGAGATGAAGGAGAGGATGATGCTGAGTCAACTGTGGCTGGGACTTCAATGTACTTTGGGACCCCTGCCATTCTACCAACTGTGCTACATCCTGGTTGTGTACACACATTACACATGCACAAACAATACTACAGTGGACGGTATACCACGTAACATGTGCATATATTGGAAGAAAAAAACTAAAGGTTAAGAAACTTCACTCGCATAAGCATACATGGTCAAATATATAAACAATCACCTTCGTAATATGGACTTACGATGAAGATGAGTTACTGCCAGAAACATGAAAATAAATTATGCTGCTCTTTGCCCAGGAAAGTCCCAGTCTAAAGACAGAGACTCTCTTTTCACGCGGGTCCTGCACTGGGATATTTGGCCAATTCCATAAATGAGCGGATGTGGCTTCGTGTGGAAGGAAAACCTGAGTACCCTGCGGGAAGACAAAAAACCCCTACAGATGAGTGGGGCGACGCTCAAAGCTTCCGCACAGATGGAATCAAGAATCCATTGCTGATCTGTCAACTCCTGCCCCCGTTCAAGTACCCACCAGTTTCCTGTCTGCTTAGCTTTGGAGATCGGGCGCATTCAGCGACGTTGTCCGCATTGCCATGCAAATGTATTCGGAGGTATACGACGCATGCTGTATGTGCAGTCCTTCATATGCTGTACATGCACATGACATAAGTTCTGTATAAACACACTTTAGCAATAATTTACACGTACAGTACACAGATTAGGCATATACACACGTTGTGCACATACAGTAAACATACTGTAGATACATAGTGCAGCATTACTATGAAGTGCACCTAGCCTGGCACAAGCGCCCTGGTGACGTCACCGCCACTTAGTGGTGAACTTATGCTGTTGTGCAATACACAGTCTAGGACGCAGAGCAGCGGCATCGTCGACAGTCCCAACAACAGTAGCACGTGGACACACACACACACGAGACAATACACAGTACAACAACTGCATAATGCAGCACACAACGGGGCAGCGCTTTCACAACCTGTGCACGAGGGGTGACAGCACCACGCCCGGCCGCCTTTGTCTCCCCCCCCCCCCCGTGGCGATGTTTACACACCGCACCAGGTGCTCATTTAAGGCTGAGTCGACCTTGGGTGGGTGGGGGGGCCCCCCAGGACCGGTTCAGATAAATCGCCACCGGTGTTGTCCACTGCGCCACACCGCTCCCCCAGCAGCACACGCGGAAAACAAAGACAAAAGATCCCACACCCGGGTAGCCTCAACAGACTGGTTAGGACAAGTGCCCCGTGAGTGAGCAACCTGTGATCCTCATGGCGGTGCCCCGGGGTAACCAAATAAAACAAAATTGCCGAGGCAACTAAACATTTTATTTCTGGGGACACTTTTTTTTCCAGGGGTGTACTTAACTCTGGGGTACCAATCGATCCGAAATCAGTGCCACAATCCACGATGTCGAAACGCCAAACGTCAGCATAACAAAATCCCTTCTCGAAAAATTCAACTTTGAATAGTGCGTCGTGCACAGCTCGTCGAGATGTGTTCGATTGCCGCATCGCCGACCATCAACAATATTGAGGTGGGGGGGGGAGGGCTGGCTGGCTTGCTTGACCATACTTCACCACGCTGGTGTCAGACCGACGTCGTCACCCTAATGGTATCGTTGTTCAGCAGCATGGGCTGCTGCTACTGATGCTGCTGCATGAGCAACGCACACAGCCGCTCCTTGCACCTGCAGTGCCAACGCCGACGGACGATGATGGAGTCGAGGATGAGTGGTGGCTTGGAGCCGATTGAGGTCGACACGAAATTGACCGGGCAGCCAGGCACCTTCTCAAGACTGTGACGACGTCGATGAGGAGGAAGAAGATGATGAATCTGGCTGTCGCCTGATGAAGCTAGTTGTAATTACTGGCGAAACGTCGTACTCGGATTGTAAATGTTGTGGCTTGGCTCTCCAAAACGCCGTTGTTGTTGCTGTACTAGTGACGAATTGGCCACGTTCTGTTTACGTGACAAACCTTACTATTTTGCTGTCAGGTGGTGGCGGGTTTAACGACACATTTATATATTTACGCGATCTAACCCCAAAAAAACACCTGATTTATGTAAGAAGACGACGGATGCTGATGACGATGATGACAAATGTAATTAGGGGTGATGGCGAACAGCCAGCAAATTAATTAAGACGGCGGGAGACCGGTGGTGGTGGCGGCGATGATGGGGGAGGGGGGGCTTGAAAAACGTGAATTTGTCTACTATGGATGTTCTGCAGGCGTTTCTGCAATTTTCGATTGGGTTTTTTTTTCGTTTCTTTGTTTAAGTTGTCGAGACGGTGCTTACGCGGCATCGCGGATCTGCAGTGCAAAAAAATAGCCGGGTAACTGGCTAAACGGGGTCATCGGTGTCATAAATACAAGACACTCAAAACTCGTCTTCAGATACATTTGAAAGCAAGTTCTGTATGGAATTGGTCCGTCCAACCTATTTTTGCAGAACCGTATTACTCCCCAATGCAGGGATTCCATTGATTTACATTTAATCACACTTATTAGAGCCAACAAGTCAACAAAATAAAGGGCTATTGTATTTGAGTTCACCAATGTACAAAATACTCTTTGGTTATTTCGTTAAAGTCACGTAGGTATAAAATAAAATAATTTAAATCACGAAGTTTATGGCGCAACACAAGCGTCCGTCATCAGGTGGGACAACCACAGCAATAATGTCTTGGTAGACAAATTTATTTATACCTACGTGACGTTTTCGAAAGAACCAAAGAGTATGGATCCCTGCAGTCACGAAAACTTCAAATCTAGATTGAATGTACAAAATACAATTGTTAAGCCAAGAAAAATCATCACGACCGACCCAGCAAGACGATTTTTTTTAAAATCCAGATTGAAAACGCATTTCTTTAACACTGCTCGATGTGTTTAGTTTATTGTCCTTCACCCGCACCTCTGATTAGCACTGTGCGAAAGAAGTTCAACACACAAAGGCAAAAGATCCCCCGTATATAGCCTGCACAAACTGTTGGGGCAAGTGCTGTTAGCGAGCACCTATGAAGGCCGGCATCGTGACACACGAGGGGGTGTGGGTGGCCAGCACCACACCCGGCCGCCTTTGTCTCCCCAGTGCTGATATTTTACCCATCGCACCAGGTACTCATTTGAGGCCGAGTCGACCGAGGGGAAGCCCAAGACCCGTTCAGATAATCGTCGACCGTGAGCGGGAATCGAACCCGGGTCAGCCGGTGTTGGTGGCGCAGCGCAGCGCTAACCGCTACCACCACCAACACACAACGTCAAAAACAAAGATCCCCCACACCCCCGTATAGCCTGTACAAGACTGTTGGGGCAAGTGCTGTTATCGAGCACCTGCGAAGGCCGGCACCGTGGCACACCGAGGATGCGGGTGGCCGGCACCACGCGCGACCACCAACACGCGCACACAAACAAACCCACCCCCCCATGCAAGTGCCATCGATGGCCGGTGGCTGAGCGGACCGAGGAAACGCCACCCGCACACAACGGGGGTGACACAATTGGGTTGCCCACCTGGTGCCTCCGCCGGAGTTCGTTCCACGTCGCTCCGCGCTCTCTCCCCCTTCTCTCTTCCTCTCTTCCCCTCTTCCTCGCCTTCTTCTCACCCAGGCTTGGAGGTGGACATTCACCCACGCCCGGTCTCCTCCTCACCCACGCCTCGCGACCAGGGTCCAAACGCCCCGGGTCTCTGGAGGCGAGCTTGGGAGGGTGAGGTGGTCGTGTTGGGTGGGTAGGCAGGATGATCTGTAAGCAGGTAGGAAGGTAGGCACGTACGTATTCATGCAGGTAGGTGGGTAAACTGATAGGGAAGAAGTGATCGTTATGAGATAAGGAGGTTGGTTGTGATATAGGAAGGTAAGTAGATAAGCGGGTAAGTAGATATGAAGATACGACAGGGAGATAAGCAAGGAATAGGTAGATACGTGTGACGATAGGTGCGTGATAAGTTCGGTTCGTAGGTGAACAGGTAGCCGAGTGGATATGTAGGTATGAAGAAGATACATAGGCAGGTCGATAGCTCGTTAGGAAGGTAGGTAACGGGGAGATAGGGTGGGAGTAGTGGCGTGATACATTCTACAAAAAAAATCAACAAAATCTCAGGCGCACATCTTGTTGTTTGCTGCTGCTGATGATGACGATGACCACGATGATGATGGTTTTGTTGTCGAGTTCACGCTGACACAGAGAAGACCCCGGCTACGGTGTTCCTCTTGTGTACACGTTTCCCCGGTGCTCACTAAGTAGCTCGCCTGTGCAAGTCTCGACCATACAAATGTGTTCGGCGTTGAAAAGAGGCGCATTTCCCCGAGCGGCGGGCGGGCTGTCGGGCGGGCGTGGCCGTGGCAAGAGAGTGGGAGGGCGAAAAGAAGGGTGGTTTGCACTGGTAGGGGAGGGGAGAGGAGGAGGAGGGTAGCCGAGAAGACTCGACAGGTTGACTGGGTGGGTGAGTATTGGGGCAATGGAAAGTTGGTGGGTCCATTGACTGAGGTGGGAGGGCAGCCACAACATTCTGGCTTGTCTCTCTCTCTCTTTAATCAGGCGTGGTGGCACACACCCGTGGTGGCACACACCCGTGGTTCATGGAGCTTTGGAGGCAAGGGATCGGTGGATCACGCATATTTGTGAAACTTCAAATCCTGCTGGGTTATGAGTTGGCACAGATAAAGAATTACAGTGAGTGGATTATTGTATCGATCTGTGCCGCTTTGCATGTGATTCCCTTGTATCCGTGGGGGTTCCTCGTGTACTCCAGTTTCTACCAACATACTAAACACTCATTATTGATTGCAATTATCCATTTTAAAGTTTTTTTTTTACAAGTTATGATGCAGCCAAATTCGTACCATTATCCTAGAATCTCACACATTCGGAATAACGCTGGCGAACAGAATGGCACAACGCAGACGTCCACAACAAACACCTCATTCGATACCCAAACATCGCACCTTCTGGCTTTTACATTCCTCGAAGACACCGGTGTACCATAAACCGCATCAGAAAATCAACAGGCTGCTGCGCCCATCGCCTTCATGAATGGAAAATGGAAGAAGCCACAATGCAACTGTCAAAAATGCAACCCAAACTTTGGACCATATAGTAAACCAGTGTAATCCTCTCTCCTTCAAAGGAGAAATAGCAAAACTACACATACTTTCTCCTGAAGCTCTCTCGTGGCCAGCAGACCTCAATATTGGAATTCATCTCCTGAACAAATTGGCGTACGCAAGAGTAGAATCGTACCACTTCGTGGGAAGTCAAATGTGGTCTTGTTATTAAGATACAGCCCCCCTTTGCACGAATGTGTGATAAAACATCACTGGTTGGGGGCAAACACCTTCACACACTCGTTTAAGCGTAGAGCCACTTTGGCTTTTAAAAAACATGACCAAATGAATATAATTACACAGCTAACAACGTACTGGGTCAACCCATACGGTTTGCCCGTATTCTTGTACAGGAACATTGCGTTTTCAGGTCCATACGGCGTACAGCCGTTTTAATATGGGCAAACGTTTTTTGTCTATTTGTGTTTCTCCCTTGTGATGAGACTTTATAGGATGAACGTTGAGGTGTATAAGGGCACGGGGTGACCAATAAGGTCTGTAATAAAGTAGGCACAGTATATAACAAAAACATTAATTTATTATTTTTAAAACCCCATTACACTTGCAATTACTACAGTACGTATTATGACTGTACAGTATAGCACGCCAACCCTTTAAGCAAAAATATCGCCCATGCTCAGGTATGAGTTTTATCCGTTAATGATTCACCCCGACTGGAGGATTTCTGCGATTTGATAGCTTGTCACGATTTATGGGTGGCTGTTCAATCCTAGCATTCATTATATAGTCTCATTTTGTCTCTCTTGCTTTAAGAGCTGAAATCTATATAATTGGTATACATCGGAGGTCATCGATTCTTACACACGATGCAGTGCACGTAATTGAGTGAAACAATCAATGTTGATTGATGACTAATTACATAACATTGTAAATAAAGGAGTGCATTACGATGTCGCCATAACAATAGCAATCACTTAATAAGAAATATCTCATTTAATTTGTAAGGTATTAATAATGTTATACAATGGATACATGGTCGGCATACTAATGCAATGGTGACATAACTGCAGTACAAGAATAAGCCATTATTCATGGTACATTTTAAAAATAAAAACTCACATTGGTCAAATTCCCCACTGGTGGAAAAGGCCAGTGCCTCCTTTTTAACCATCTAATAAACTGGGTAAGTTACTTGAATAAACCACAAGAAATGTGATATCTATGAGGTGACACTACTTATGATTGACATTGCTGATACAATTTGACTACAATTGATAGTTCAGTACCAACTTCACCACAAGTCAAAGCATCTCCCTTTTCGAGGGAGTGTGAAACGACCGTGCTCATCTTTGCGAATAAAGAGCCAGTGATGGCAATTCCACATTGCTATTTTGCGGCCAGCCTCTAAATTGGATGACCACTACTGACGTCCCACAAAGCATTACTTATTTTATTTACCCTATGGTGATACTGAGCTGACCTACCACTAGGATTCTAAATAAAATAAAGTTCTAAAAACAATGCACGTGTTTATATCACTATATGTTAGCACTTCCATAGCATGTTTTTGAGCACCTGATAGTAAAGACACTTCTTCTTCTTGTTTCTTTCGGTAAAGTCACGTAGAAGGGAAGTAATAAAATAATAAAAATAAAACATAATGTTTTATTATGTTTTATTTTTATTATTTTATTACTTCCCTTCTACGTGACTTTACCGAAAGAAACAAGAAGATGAATCCCTGCAGTCACGAAAGCTTTAAATCGAAAAGTAAAGACACTATTACATGTTTTCGTGGAAACACAAGCTTACTTGATTGTTTACTTATTTTCTAACAGGGGATTAAACCACATTCTTGAAATGCAGGTTATTATTTATTTGCACTACAAATATTGCAGACAATGACAAATCCTGTACTTTATTTACATTTTCATTGCGATCTTTGGCTATATCTTGTAAATACACAAACGGGCCAATGCAATTGTATGACAAAATGCAATACAGTACAACCCTGTTCCTGTATACCTTTCGTGTTTTAAGCATTGGATTAAAAACCTCTTCGCTGATGTGGGTGGCTGACCCCCTTCATGCTATATTTTTTATGTACTTGTCCTCGTAGTGCTACACTCGCAGACTGTTCTGAACACAGCCACCTCCAATGGATTTCTCCAACTTGCACAATACAAAATTTTTATTTAAAGCGTTCGTGACTACAGGGATTCATATTTTTGGTTCTTTCGGTAAAGTCACGTAGAAGGGAAATAATAAAAATATAAAACAATTAAATTCTCACGACGTTTCAACTGCAAGAAAGTGTTCTTTCTGTGGATTTCACACCTGATGATTGCTTGTGTTGCAGTCGAAACGTCGTGAGAATTTTATTGTTTTATATTTTTATTATTTCCCTTGCACAGTACTGTTGGGATTCCCGACATGCACGCGGAGAAATACATATTCACACGGACATTGAGTTAAATGCATTCGTGAGTTCATCTATCATCGTGCACCACCATAGGTGTGACACTGGAGAAAGCATTGGAGAACGCAAGTGAAGTACATTTTTATTTGCACCTTTCTGGCACAAATCTTCCACTCACAGGGTCATCATCACATTAATACTCAAAGATAAAACAAATATATAAAAAATTATACACTTTACATTGAGGTAAAAAACGGCAACTTATATGACTGCCATTTAAAGCTTTCGTGACTGCAGGGATTCATCTTCTTGGTTCTTTTGGTAAAGTCACGTAGAAGGGAAATAATAAAATCAAACATAATAAAATAATTCTCACATTTCGGCCACAACGCAAGCAGCCGGCCTCAGGTGAAGAACAGGTCTGTCGGAAAGACAGCGTGACTTTACCGAAAGAACCAAGAAGAGGTTATATGACTGCCTCAAAGTGATTAACATGGACCGCATTACTCAATGATTTATTCCATCCACGATGTAATGTTAATTGACGCACATCTGCTGCCATTTCAGATGGCGAGACCAAAACGGAATATGGCTTCTTCCCAATTTATAGCACGCCCTATCATTTGGCAAGGCGACTCTGCAACAGAAACATGTCAAATTCAAGTATTATTAATGTATGACAATCTGCAAGAAACAACAATGAATGCCTCTAGACAGCATGATGAGCATAACTTATCCCATAAAAATTGTAAATATAGCATTAGCTTTTCCGTTGTTTTCTATACTTGTTTAGCAATGATAAATTAAATTACTACACTTTAACAAATAGTTGTGTAAAATAAAATGAGCACATTTCACTGAGTGAAAATTCAAATCAGTTTGACAAATGTTTTGTTTCTCCATTGACAATAATTGCATTTGTGAAATAGGTATACAAATACGAAAACATCTCACCTTACAGTGCTCATATAATCAATAACAGACAAAATTTGCTTTGATGAGGAAGAATCTCAAAGATGTACGTTTTCCAATTTGTAATATATATTTGTATAATCCTCTAAGTTGCTTGGAATTTCATCAATTGAAATAGACTTTTATGATCACAATTCATGCATTGAATGGTGTGAGAATTTATTATTTAGATTGTATGCTAATTATATTCTCATGTTATATTTATAATGGAGAAAACACAGTTGTAAACGGGAGAAAGAGAAGAAACAATACAAATAAGATTAGGAATGACACGAAGATTTACATAATAAAATGTAATTATGACCCCAAACTGTAAACATCTAATTAATATGGATGAATTGTTACATGCCCAGTTATTACACCTTATTTTTTCATACACTTGAAGTAAATCTTGCAATTAAAGATCTTTCTGCGTAGAATGTTAATGTGTTTACATAATGATGTATTAAATAACTGTAACATAGAAGGATTCTTTTTACTAAGAGGGCATTCATATTCCTGTTTCAGATAAGCCTTTTTCAGAAAATATCGTGGTTTAGACATATTACTATAGCCTAAAAAAAACTGTGGTTTGTGTTAATAATGTTTATGCTACACTATATGAATGCCGTACCATCATTCCCATTCAAGCCTGTCAGTTGAAACGTCAAAATCCTCCAAATTCACCCACCCACATCATTATTTATGTATTTTACTAACATGTTATTCTCATTCACTAAATGAAGTGTGAGATGTGATCGTGGGGTTGGTCAGTCGACATGGTGGCAGTCTAAAATCAGATGTGTGCACTTAAGTAGATCAATTGAAATGCACACATCTCATTTACTGTGCAGTTCAATCTCCCAAGACGAAAACAATTAGGTGTAAATGAGCTACCACGTTGTGGGTAATGCACCATAACTTCTTCAATTCATCCTGTATACAACACACAGTCGGCAATTCATGTCAGAAGGATTGTAACGTCTGGTTTTCAGTGGAATTTGATACTTGAACCTTACACAGCTCGCAATCTGCAGCTTTAGTGACAATTATGGTGACCATTGGACACTTTACATGTTTAATAACAATTACTGATGAATCAAGAGAATAATTCTGATGCTCATTATAAACCTGTGTTCTTACCATTGGGCAGTGAGTCTTACTCGTGAATGATATTTGCCATGATACATGTAACGATATCTGGAATTGTGGAATAGTGGCCCAATGCCAGTGGTGGAAATCCCATATTGCAATGGTATGGGACTAGACTTATATAGGATGACCATGGACTGTTGATTTGCAACAAAGTAGCACTCATTTAACAACCCTGGAGGGATGATGGGCTGAGTACACCCCAGAGTCATATTTTAAATCATAACTTTTTGATTATCAGTCTAGTGAAATTACTGACACACCATCGTGCTTATTGTAAATATACACCAAGTAATACAATGTTGTTTCTTTTTAATAAAAATAACACTTGACACACGTGAAATCGCCATACTTATAGCCATATCAACTTAATTTAAATACTGTATGCATAAAAATATAACTACATACAAAGAACACACTTCACAAAAATATGAACGTAAAATACAACAATCGTACACGTACATGTCTATAAACATGGTTAACAAAAATAAACTCAATGCGTGGCTGTCACAGGTCAGCTCACAATCCATCTTTTCCGATCCATAATTATAAATTAGAACACAATGATTATCAATGACATTATCTTGTAGAGTTTCATTGCTTCCTTTGTGTATTTTGACAACTTTTTAAATGTTAAGTGCATTCCATGACACACATGTAATTCATCATAGTAATTGACAAATTGGAAATGTTTTCAACAATAACATATAATCACTGAAACAACATAATACAAATGATTGTGTCATTTATTTCAGCTTAATGGCTTTGGTATGCAGTAAAACAGAGTGATAATAAAGTCCTTCCCTAGTTTTTGTGTCATAGTATAAAAACATGCAGAATTTAACGTTCTTTCAATACCAATGGACAACACATCTGAAAATGTATTTTTCTGATGGGAGGGAATTCACTATTTTCCTATCTAATATAATAAGCCAAGAATGCGTGTGTGTCCATCACATGATGGCACTCCACACGAGGTCCCCCCCTCATTAATAATCATGAGCGGGTGATGTCACTACACATGCCGCACCCCTCCCCAATTACCATGAGGGGGTGACGTCACTACACATGCCGCACCCCTCCCCAATAACCATGAGGGGGTGACGTCACTCCACATGCCGCACCCCTCCCCAATAACCATGAGGGGGTGACGTCACTCCACATGGGGCAACCCCCCTTCTCAATAATCATGAGCTGAACAATTTTTCTATTTAATGTCAGATTTACGGCAATATACACCCGTCCTTGGATGGGCAAACAAGCTAGTTCATATTAATAGGAAAGTCTCACCGAGTCTCGAGACCCTTTTTCAGGAGGGTCTTACCAAGTTTTTGCAAAAGCGGCAATGATCGCTAAATATACTCCAGTAATTTGCACGCAATTTTTCTAACTTTGCACATTTGGATAATCATAACAATGAGAAGACAGTGATAACGGACAATTGCATCTAAATAACCGGTAGTGTTTGTGATGGATAATCCTTCGGTCAACCTTCAAGGTTACAGGATGACATTGACGGTGATAAAAATGCAGCTGGAAAAGTTGACGTGAAATATTTGCAAATCGCTTGGTATTTTTTTTAAAGATACCACTCAAACGTGTGAACAAAATTAAGGCTATGTAGCTGAAATGTAGATGGAGGAAAGCGCAATTGTAAACACGTGTTGTGTTATTTTACAATTTAAGTAATATTTTGAAACATTGTCATCACAATACATTACTTTAAAACCAGGGATGGACTTTGCGATTAGCCTTTGTATTTCAGTGATACATATTCTTAAGCGTGTGTTTGTTTATGCACATACATCAATGAGTGTTTCATATATAAATAAATATAGTTTGTAAAACATAAATTACTTTACAATGAGCATGAGCTTATGCAGGAATCGCGACCTCATCAGTTCCTGAGACGATAGGTGGGCCCTTGTTATGAACGAACACACCCACTCAATGTAAACATCGCAGAAGAGCACAAACACAACATGTTAACCAATACATTTCTGCTTGATTTTACACTTCAAATTCATCATTATTGTCAGGCCCAACTTTTTCAGAATACCATTAATGTTTTATGATGTTGTTTTGGTCCATTTATAGACATGTGAAGTATGTATGTGTCCATTGGTGTACAGAGACTATGTAATAAAACACTCCCATATTAAAATTATAAATACACATCTGTTGGTATACCTTAATAAATGGCATATAATTTAACTCACATGCAGAGAAATGATCCGACGTGAAAAATGTTACATGGAAAAGTAAATTGTTCTTTCAATAGGCCACTAATTTGTAAAAGGAAACAGCGTATGTCACTGCAGAATGTTTTTCCTGTTAAATCTGCATAGCTGTCACAATAGGTAGTCAATGAATGTAACCTCTCAAAAAGTGCATGATCAGAAAGCAATCAAGTCGGTCTGCCCCTATTCAAATGAATGTGGGGGTGGTTGTCATGTCCATAAATGGTTCTAAACCAGTGGTGGGAATTCCACAATCATATGACAGAAGCCACTTTCAATGTATCAAACACAAAGGTAAGACAGTTGAGTCGGTGATCCGACCAGGGTTTTAACTCGTTTACCTATTAGCCATTTGAACATTTGAAACGACAGTGCCACCAATTCGGGTAGCTTTTAGTCGGGGTATGCTAATACAACACTTGTCTGTTTCTCAAACACTCCTTCACACCTTCAATGAAACGTCATCACAGTATGTTCCATTATTCTGACACCTTTCCCCATCCGTAGCCGACACTAACTCCGCTGCACATACAGTGTACTGTATTCTCGCAATATAATTTAGATTGTAATCACACGAGACAGACATCAATGCAGGTAGCTATTGGAAATACGAGTGAACTGCAACAAACTGCATTTTGTAGTTTGCTATTGCAATACACTGAATGTATCCATAAGCCCAATTACAATGCTTATGTAACTGGCTGCAAAGCAACCATATGGTTGGCTTTTTTAGATGCTGAGGGCTACAGTCAGGGGTGAGCTGACAAGGCCAGTCACAGCCCTGTGGTCAGTGTGTATGTACAGACAGATGGGCTGGGAATTGCAAACACCTGCAGGGTGACCCTGGAGGCATCTTTGACTGATCGCAGCCCTATGTCGGCAGCCGAATGCAGTCATCTGCAGTCCATACAACATGCAATACAAATCAATATGTAAACACATACAACCGCCCCACGCACCCTTAGAGGGGGCATTATATGTGCGACTAGCAGCTTAGCAATGGCATATAAAATTTTAAGATGTCTGTTCACCATATATTTCTATACAATTATAATTGCCTAGTGTTGGACAAATGTAATTTTTGTGATTGTAAATTCATTGCTTTGAGTTTTATGGGGATTTTCGACATTTATGAGACCATGGATCGATATCATGCATTTATTGATAAGCGCAATGGGCATTTAAATCATATAATTATTGGGAACTGTAGCTGTCCTTATTTAAAAAAACTTTGTGCAAACACAACAGAGATTCACAATAAACCATGACTGGCTTTCAGCAATCATTATATGTCGATAGTTATTACAATTTTCTAGTTATACATTTCCTCCAGGGAAATGTCAAAGCCCATCTGATGCACAATGGATCAGGGCTCTGTGCCTTACCTACAGGGTCTTTTGATTATCCAACTGCTCTTGCAAAAGGGAGGCACGCTTCTGCAGGCAGTTCACCTGGAACGGCAGAATGAATCATAATTGGTCATTCAGGGAATTCTCTAAAGAAGCAGAGCATCTTTGGCGGCCTTTAATTGCCCGCTCGTGATGCACCCACAGAGCGGTGGTGTCACAAGAGAAGCTGCCATGGCTTTCATACAATTCCATTTGAAACAGAATGCATTCGGAGAGGGGAGAGGAGTAAAACTTTAGAATGGAGCATGTCTGCTTTTGAGGATTTAAGCCAGTGGTGGAATAAGCACGTACGTAGGTTTTCCCAGCCACTCGTAATCCTAGTGTAGTCTTCTGGGCTAGGCTACGTGTTGAGCATATATTCTCTCAAGCTTGTGCCACGCACTACGACTGGTATCTTCGGATGATGACATGAGGAATCTCACCTGGTCTCCAATCAGGATAAACTGGGTGAGTATCCTCACTTTGGTTCAATTGCGTGGTGCCAAAAGCTTGAGAGAAGATACGCTCAACAGACGGCCTAACCCTGAAGTACAATTTGCAGCCAGTGGTGGAGTTGATATCACCCACCCATGTGTCTTTCTGCCTGTCACCTGTGACTGGAGGGACGCAATGGTCTCCTCCAGCTGCTTGCGGACGTCCGCCGGCATGAGGCCCTTCAGCTTTTTCTCATGTTCCTGTCGCAGCGCCGTCACCTGCAAGGCAATTAATACCAGGTGAAGCTGGGATATCTCACCCAAAAACGTCATGGTCAAAGCAAGACATCTAAAATACTTGGAACTATTTATGAAAGGTCAATGCTAACTCAGAAGAAAACATTTGAGAGCCTCACTTGCCAACTCGATTTTGCACTGTCTAACGTGGGGCCCTGTGCCCCATTGGCAGATATTTTCGAGCTACAAAGTAAGAGGAGCATGCGGAGCTGATGCTAAACAGATGTAGTTTTAATAATGAATAACATGCTTAAAGAACAGGCAAGTAATATTATATTGATATTATATTTATAATATTACTTGTTAAATACTCAGAATTATAAGCATAAATCACATTAATGTTACCCTAGCATTCTTCATGTTTAAAAAATATATATTTAACATCTATTTACCCGAGCAAAGTACCTGACATGCAATACCCCGGTGTCTACAAACTAAGCTGTGTCTGCGGCAGTAGTTACATTGGTGAAACTAAGAGACATGTCTCGGACCGCGTTCGTGAGCATAAGGCAGATTTTAAACACGGGAGGACCGACACTTCAGCAAGTGGCTGATCATTGTTGGCTCACACGAAATTGATTTCTCTAAGACGAAGGTACTTTGCAAGCCCACTGGCTATCAACAAAGATTCGTTCATGAAGCCATCCATATATATATAGACACAGACACAATTTCAACCGAGAAGATAGGTACAAACTGAACAATCACTGGAAGGACGTTATCAACCAGTTTAAGTCATAATTGGCTATGATGTTCCCATCCTACCACCTTCCGATGCTAGTTGTGCTTTACACCCATTTCAAACTTGCGCTTTCTTCACAGTCACTTTGCGCGCTGACCCCTTGGTTGCGGCGCTGCGTTCTTCCATTAACATGCTAATCTCTCTTTAACATGTGCTAATTTTCACCTGGCAGCCCTTTGATTGGTGGAAAACGAACCACAGCCGGGCTCGCTGCCGAACACTTACATTATCATTGGTTGCTGACATTTGGGCGACGCCCATTTCAAACCCTTATAAACAGTTTCCCTTGGAAGCTAACCCCCCTTTTCCTGAAGACGACCGCTTGCGTTGCGATCGAAACGTCGTCGTTTTTTGTTATTTTCTTTGAACCTATCTACGTGACTTTACCGAAAGACCCAAGAATATGTTATTTTGAAATCATGCAACAAGACTAAATATGAAACCAAAAATGAATACCATGCCTGATTCACCAAAGTATTGGTCCACGATTAAAGATCATTACTTTTACAATGATCATGTACACATGTATCTCAGGCCATACAATGTACGAACAAGCTCATTTACAAGACATGTATAACAAGCCAATATAACACTAAACACACTATCCAAACTAAATACTTGCATTAAACCAATGCAGCATGAACGTGGACAATTTGAATTTCTTGGCTTAAAAAAGCATGTATTTTTGCAGTAGTATAAACATGCTGGGTCATTCCACCTTAAATCTAACTAATTACAATGTTAAGTTTGCAATTCAGAGAAGTAAAAAATGGAATTTCATGCGTACACTGAAATCAGCGAAATCCAACATAGGTTCCAGCCAAATTCAGAAATTCGTAGAGGAACACATTATTTCTGTTTGACTCTTCAGTCAAGTGTGCTGCATTGTGTTCACTAAAAGTCATCGCTCAGAGGCCAAGTCAGAAGAGCAGACTCGCACACACATTCACTCTCGGTGCAACTATTGTAGCAGCAATATATTTGTCCGTACGGTGCACAAAGAAAAAGGAAATAAGTGTCATATTGTGCAAACCGTTTGAAATAGCAACAGCAGTTAACGTCATAATTAGGCATCTAACAATTCAACCCCAAGGGATTCAATGGATTTTCACCATTCTATTTAATAAGCAGATTATTTTCTTTCTGTTTCGATTGTTTCTTGTTTTTCCTGCCTTTTGTAGTCTCAAAGCAAATCATATCCTAAATGTAACATTCGCATATCATTTGCAATTTTCCTTGTAAATGGTACATAATAAAATAATTCATCTTCCCATTTATTATATTCGCATACTAATGCATTTTACTTGAAGCTTCCAGATATGTAAAACAATGAAATTTGTGTTCATGCAGTTTACATTGCCTTAAACATGACTTCCTTTGTTTCGTGTGCACTAACTAGAATGGAAAATTTCGATTTAAAGCTTTCGTGACTGCAGGGATTCATCTTCTTAGTTCTTCCCGACAGACCTGTTCTTCACCTTAGGATGGCTGCTTGCGTTGTGGCCGAAACGTCGTGAGAATTATTTCATGTTTTATTTTTATTATTTTATTATTTCCCTTCTACGTGCCTTTACCGAAAGAACCAAGAAGATGGAATGGAAAAGTTACAGATACCCATGCGTAAGGATCACCGAGTACACCTGTGCTCCCGCAAATCCGACATGAGATGGTTTTCATGATCTAGAGACATGGTAAATGTGACTACTCTTTTTATAACTATGATTGTCCACCATATGGAATTAAGCCTCGCACGCAACCAATTTACAGCAGCCGCACCTTTACATCAGCCGCACCTTAACAACTCTTGGAACCTCTCAGTTCAACCAGTCTACACAACAAAGGCTCATTCCTAGCAGCATGCTTCAGCCGCACCGAACCTCAATAATAATATCCAGGGGCCTACCTTGGCTCCTCCCACCCTCAACCAGTATATATACAAGGACTGTTCTCTTGGAATTTCTCTTACTTGATACAGCAATCGTTCTGTGACGGTTCCACCTGAAGACGGAAGCTTGTGTTGCCTCCGAAACGTCGTGATTTTAATTTTATTTTTATTTTACTTTTATTAATTTACATTTTTTTACCTACGTGACTTTACCGAAAAAACCTAAGAATATGAATCCTTGCAGTCACGGAAGCTTCAAATCTATAACGAACTGGCATGTTCACCTGTTCCTGGTGCTTGAGCCCAATTTGTTGTAGTTGTTTCTCCCAGGAGGCCGACAGCCGCGAGTGGGTATCCTTCTGGCCATGCAGTTCCTGTCAAGGCCCGTCAAGACCATAAACAATCTCATGTTCAAGCAGTGCAGGCTCGTGTTACAATTATAATAAACTACATGCACGCACAAAAACACGCAAAATCATACGAAGTGATGTGTAGACATGCACGGGGTTTCAACATTTTTTTTCACTCAAGCATGGAAACAAACACTCTTATTGTTGAGTGACCACATGAAATACTGCTCTTCAAAGAGCGACAAATTGAATCACAATATCTTTCACACAGAAGAACCTCACTGTGAACTCGAATTGTTAAAAGGGTTACACGATGTGTGTGCAATCTGTATAATTCTAGTTTTGAATGTTAAAGGAGGTAAAAACCTAATTTTTCGATTTTAGCCCTATTGTGCTATTGGTGTGGCATCATGAGGCGAAATATTCATGCAGATCTCTCACAGATCAGTGCAACCCATTGTGTCAAAGAATGACCCACAGAAGTGGATTTCATTCAGCTGCCTCTTAAACCCGTTAAAATTACCTATGCTCTACAGTAGGGGTGGGGAACGTCCGGTCCGCGGGCCGTATAAGGCCCGCGAAATCATTTAGTCTGGCCCTGCCAAGGCAATCGCACGACTCGAAATTCAATAAATCTAGGTGCTTTTTTCATAGCAACATAAATTTAATTTTGTATGACCCGCGAATGATATTATAAATATCCAAATAGCCCTTGGCAGAAAAAAGGTTCCCCATCCCTGCTCTACAGAGTAGGGGCAGCACTTTCTCAATCGCTCTGCCTCTGACAGTAATGTTCATTGTGTGACAGTAAAACCAAAATGTTTGTTTCTCAGAGGTGGAATTTAGTTAAGTTAAATGCAGATCCAAATTTGACGATTTTTTTTTGTACCCAATCACTCGGCCGAGACCACTATAGCGTTCTGACCCTTGGGCCACGCAGCAATCTCTTCCATGAGCAACTGAATGATTTAGCTAATCAATTAAGGCAAACGACAGGCGAGCAGGCATGCGGACGTGCCTGCAGCGTGCTGCGGTGCTCTTGGCGAAGTGCCTCCAGGTCACCCTGCATTTTGGTGACGGCGTCGTGCAGCCTCTTCTCGGCATCCAAACTCTTTTCGGAAGCCTCCTCGTGGATAGATGCCACTTGTGCCTGCAGGTCCATGATCGCCTACGCACAGTTTGCACCGATTTATTTTACTTTTGCCACAGGGATTCAAAAGTGAATGCATCTTCATGCTCAAACTCAAGTAGGCCAGTGCTAATTTCCATTGGTGGTCCTGAGCGAGTAGAAGTAATCATCATCATCATCATCATCATTTTAGCATTATTTTATTATACTCGCATGACAAGTTAAAAAGTGTCGCAAAGTGCAATGTGATAATACCATAAATCACAAACCTACATGAAAAAATACACACCCTTATGTGACAGAACGACAAAAAAACTACAATGCCAGTAAATCCGACATTTATATTACGGGAGGCACAGCGTAACCAACCAACGTTGATTTCCCACAAAGTGGCTCTCATTTAATCAACCCCCAAACAAGATTTGAACTTAAAAAAATGTGTGTTCGGCCACAGTGCCATTTGGCCAGATTATATGTGCAACAAGTGTAATTGTATTTACTCTTCAAATTTTAGAATACAAACTTTAAAGCATGTGTAGTTTTGTTATGCAAACAGTACACCCCTGCTCGCCATTCGGCCTTACAGACTGTAGGGGTAAGTGCCATGAGCAAATGCCTACAAAGGATGGAAGCCACCCGAGGGAGCGATGGCTCGCGAGTGAAGTACCCGTCGAGGACGCTTGACAACGGAGTTGAGGCACACGTATATTTATTTAACAAGTTGCCAGTACAGGACAGCCCTAGAGGGGGTAGCGGCCCCCTCACCCGTATAACTCAGGGAATACCCCTAGCTATCCATAGCCTATCCCCTGAGTCCTCCACTAAGAGCTAGGGGAGGCTGTCTGGCCCGACACTGGTAATCGGGCTCGGTACCCGGAGTCCCAGAGCACTGGCTCTGGTTCACGGGACCACGCCACTGGCTCGAGCCTGATCCCGTGGGGCCCTGATAAGGGCGGCGATCAGGGGGAGTCCAGGGCTCTAGCTACGACGTCTTCCGACTTCTTAGCTTAACTATAACATAACTGACTAAGCCCATATAACGACCCCTTTTTATACCCAACCCTCCTTGAGGGGTGGGGCCCCGGGGGATCGTAACGCCGAACCAGCCCCCCCCCAGGGTGTCTGGCTCGGACGTCGCAGAGGGCATCTCCCTGTGCACACACGTAGCCCCGCCCACTGTGTTTCTTTCCCATAGGCTGCCATGCATAACGGCCCTCTCTCCAACATCCCTACATCACTCCCCCCCGCATAGCTCGCAGCCGTCCCGGCTGCAACAATTTCAACAAATGAATCTTAACCCCTTGACTCCCCCCGTGTGTGCCCCATTTTTTCATTTAACAGAACGAGAATTGAACAACAACACTAACAATGCCCCTAAAGGGAGAACAAACCGACGCGCCCCCCCCCCCCCGAATAAATACGAAATCCGTAGAGGCAAGATATGTACATTTCCCGGAACCCTCAGCGCACGCACAACACGCACACAAGACGCACACACACACACAGCCATAATACAACAACGCGCCAAGAGCGCCACACGAACGCAGCGTCCAGTAACAATAGCACACGAAGGTGTACCAGAAAACGCAAAAAAAATAAAAAAAAATTTTCTTCTTATTTTCGTTTCGTTTTCACTTCTTGTTCGCGTTCCAGTGTTTTTATAAGAGTCTGCGCATTTTAGCGCGCGTCCTTGCCGCAGGCCCGTCACAAGGGCCAACCTCAGATGGCGGACCATTCGGTGGCCGCTGTCCCATCCGAGGCGAGTCCGCAATTGGAGTGGCGGGACCCTCGGCATCCCCCGTGAGGGATGTGCGCGAGCCCGTCATTCCGGGAGAACCTGGGGGCGGGGCAACCGGCAAGACGTCAGGTGAGATCAACAGAGGCGGACCCTCCGGGTCGGTCGACCCCTCACATGCTTGGCCCTGCGCGTGTGGAGCAGAGTCCCGCACCGCAACGAAGGGTTTTAGTCTAGAGGGGTGAACGAACCACCGGCGCCTCCCCCACTTGATACGAACGCACTGCGGTCGCAAAACCTCGACCACCTCGACGGGGCCCCGCCATGGCCGTACCAGTTTCGAGGAGGTCGCAAGCGGTACCTGGGGACAGTGCAGCCATGCCCTGTCCCCTGGCTTCCACTGCAGCACGTGCGCGCGCGCGAGTCTGAGGCGCTCATTCGCCTTTTGGCGCATGCGGGAATTGAGCATGGCAGCATCCCGCGCCTCAGTTAGCTTTTGAAGGTTAAATTTAACGTGCTCGTCCAATTTAATTTTACCTAGAGGCGCGGGGATCTGCAGCTGTGCCCGAACAGGTGGGTCATGTTCGCGACCATACATGAGAAAGAAGGGTGAAAATCCCGTGGCAGCATGGGGGGCCAATCGATATGCAGCCAGGACCCCTTGAATTTGCAAGTCCCAATTGGTCTGTGACTCCGAAACCAGGTGCGACAACATAGACGTGATGGTACGATGCAGACGCTCGACCATCCCGTCAGTTTGTGGGTGATAGGGAGAGGTACGAATCTTCTTTGTACCTAGGAGATCACAGACTTGTTTGAGGAGGTTCCCGGAAAAATTTTTACCCTGGTCGGTCAGCAGCCGCTCCGGAGCACCTTTGTCCATGACGTAGCCTTGGACAAAGGCGTCCACGATGGCTGCTGCCGACTGATTTGCCAGGGGCCAGGCCATAGGCCAGCGTGTGAAGTATTCGACCCCTGTTAGCAAATATCTATTGCCCCTAGGGGTGGCGGGAAACGGCCCCAGGATATCCAACGCTACGAGTTCGTTCACCCTGGAGACTGTGATGGACTGCAACGGCGGGTTCGACTCCCGAGCTGGTGGTTTGCGTTGCGCACACCGGGGGCATGCTGCCAGCAGATCCGTGACATCCCGTGTCATGCCCGGCCAAAAAAAATCCAGCTGGAGCGAGGCGAGGGTCTTTTGGGTACCCAGGTGGAGGAGGCGCTCATTCGCAGCCCACACCACCTTACCCCGTAACCCCGCAGGAACTACCAGCCGGTGACGGTGGGATTTACCGTCCCAATGCATGAGCAAGCCCGCGTGTATTTCCCAATTGTCGGCATCACCCGTCCCACACCCCCTCTCCCTGGCGCGACGACGCAGCGCGAGGAGGGAGGCGTCCTCCATCTGGAGGCGTCCCCACTCAATCACAGGCAACCCAAGCAGGGAATCCCTTCCCTGTTTCCCGATCTCATCGGGGAGCGATGTGTCAACATCGGCGGCGGCCGCCAGGACTGGAACCGTCATGTCCCCAGCTGGCTTGCAACGCCCCGACCCCAGGAGGCATGCGCATTCGGAGGTGGTTGGCATGCGCGACAGAGCGTCCGCATTTGTGTGGCGAATGCCCTTACGATAGGTGGTGTCAAAATCGAAATCCTGGAGGACCTCCAGCCATCGGGACAATTGTCCCGATGGCTGTTGAACCTTCAGGGCGTACTGCAGTGCCGCATGATCCGTACGGACAGTGAAATGCTGACCGTACAGATATGGGCGGTACTGTTGGATGAAGAAAACAATTGCCAACAGTTCTCTACGGGTGACACGATATTTTTGCTCCGCTGGAGACAACACCCGACTGCCGTACGCAACCACCCGTTCCACGCCATCAACCACCTGGGAAAGCACGCCTCCGATACCTGTGTTGCTCGCGTCGGTGTCGAGCAAAAACGGCCTCGAAAAATCGGGGTAAGTCAAAGGAGGAGCCTTCACCAATGCATCCCGAAGGGAGCAGAAAGCTACTTCCTCATCCCGACCCCAGTGGAACCGAACCCCTTTTGATGTCAAAGCATGTAGGGGTTTGGCAATTGTAGCAAAATTAGCGACGAACCGTCGGTAATATGAAGCGAAGCCAATAAAACTCCTCACCTCCCCCACCGAGGTCGGAATTGGCCAGGAGCTGACACACTGCGTTTTGGCGGGATCGGTAGCAATACCCGAGCGCCCCACGATGTGCCCCAAATAACGCACTGACTCGCGAAACAAATAGCATTTTTGGGGCTTAAATTTCAAATTAGCAGCCCGCATCCTTTGGAAAACCGCCCGCAGCCTCTGGAGATGTTCGTCAAAGGTTCTTCCAAAAACAATTACGTCATCCAAATAAATCAGGCACGATTCCCATTGCAATCCAGCCAAAACCAATTCCATCAACCGCTGGAAGGTTGCCGGCGCTGAGTGTAAACCCATCGGCAACCGGTTGAATTGGAACAGGCCGTGCGGTGTACGGAAAGCGGTTTTAGGCTTCGAATCATCGTCCAGAGGAAGCTGCCAGAATCCCGAAAGTAAATCTAGTGTGGAGAAGAATCGCGCTCCCGCCAAGGCGTCCAGCGATTCGTCCATCCGTGGGAGCGGGTATGCGTCGGCAACCGAAACCTTATTAAGGCGACGGAAATCTACGCAAAACCGCAACGAGCCATCCTGTTTCTTAACCAGGACAATCGGTGCTCCCCAAGGGCTGGTAGAGGGAGAGATAATGTCGGCGGCTAACATGTCATCGACAGCCGATTTGACATGGTCCTTTTCGGCGGGACTCAACCGAAAAGGATTTTGGCGAATAGGCGCGCTGTCACCCGTGTCAATATGGTGACGCAGCAGGTGAGTACAACCCAAATCGTATTTATTCCGACTGAAAACGTCGGAAAATTCCTTTAGCAGCGATCTAAGCCGTTGGCGCTCTAAATTGGACAGGTTCGTCGATCCCGCACAAAGCGCGTCGAGCCACCCTTCATCGCCGTCCGAATGCGGGTGCGTCCGAGCAGCAGTGTCAATGTGGTTCACGGCAGGTTCCTCGCAGGGCACCGGCGTCGCGTGAGCGAGCACAGTCCCTTGGGGAACCACTACTGTCTGCGACCCGACATTGAGGACCGCGATGAAGGGATCCTCGTCCCCCCTTACGATGGTCTGGGCCGGAATTAAATGAGGCCCATTAACCCCGGCCCTAGACGGCCCCAGCACAACACCCTGATCCCCAACACCCTTAGCGAAGGGCCTACGAAGTTTAAGAGGTACCAGCATTTGTGCCCCCGG